TCCACGAAAGCTTCTACTACAGCAAGCACTAAAGCTTCGACTGCCAGCACGAAAGCTTCTACTACGGCTAGCACGAGAGCTTCTACTACAGCAAGCACTAAAGCTTCGACTGCCAGCACGAAAGCTTCTACTACAGCAAGCACCAAAGCTTCGACTGCCAGCACGAAAGCCTCAACTACGGTCAGCACGAAAGCTTCTACTACGGCTAGCACGAGAGCTTCTAGTACAGTAAGTACCAAAGCTTCGACTGCCAGCACGAAAGCCTCTACTACAGCAAGCACGAAAGCCTCAACTTCGGCAAGCACGAAAGTCTCAACTACGATTTCCACGAAAGCTTCTACTACAGCAAGCACTAAAGCTTCGACTGCCAGCACGAAAGCTTCTACTACGGTCAGCACGAAAGCTTCTACTACGGCTAGCACGAAAGCCTCAACTACGGTCAGCACGAAAGCCTCAACTACAGCAAGCACCAAAGCTTCAACTGCCAGCACCAAAGCCTCAACTGCCAGCACGAAAGCCTCAACTACGGTCAGCACGAAAGCCTCAACTACAGCAAGCACCAAAGCTTCAACTGCCAGCACCAAAGCCTCAACTGCCAGCACGAAAGCTTCTAGTAGCCTAGTATCAACTGCAACCTCTAAGGCATCTACTGCTAGTACGCGGGCTTCTACCGCTAGCACAAAGGCTTCTTCAACTATTGGCACAACCAAGGCCTCCACGTCTAATACAGCTTCAACAGCAAGCACTAAAGCCTCCACTAGTACCACCGCCAAGGTCTCAACCTCAAGCTCTAAGGCTTCGACTACCGCCAGCACCGCCAAAGCTTCAACTACAGCTAGTACGAGAGCATCCACAACTAGTAGCGCGCGACCTTCGACAACTGCTAAAGTCTCGACTTCCGCCAGTACTAAGGTGTCGACAACTGCTAGCACTAGCGCTTCAAACACTATTAGTAGTACTGGCAAAGTCTCAACATCGGCGACCAAGGCTTCAACCACCGTTAGTACTGCTAAGACATCGACCTCCGCTACTAAGGGTTCCAGCGCTATCAGTACCAGCAAGGGTTCATCCACGGCTAGCTCTAAGATTTCGACATCTGCGACCAAGGCTTCAACCACTATTAGCACTGGCAAGGCATCAACTTCCGCTACTCAGGCTTCGAGTACTATTAGTACCGGCAAGGTATCTTCTACGGCCAGCTCCAAAGTTTCGACGTCTGTTAGCACTAAGGCTTCAACTTCTACCACTAAAGTATCAAGCACTGTCAGCACTGGCAAGGCTTCATCCACGGTCAGCTCTAAGGTTTCCACTTCTGCTAGCAGCAAAGCATCGAGCACCGTCAGTACTGGCAAGGCATCGAGTACTATCACCAGCAAGGCATCGAGTACTGTCAGCACTGGCAAGGCTTCATCCACGGCCAGCTCCAGGGTTTCCACTTCTGGTAGCAGCAAAGCATCAAGCACCGTTAGCAGCAAGGCATCGAGCACCGTCAGTACTGGCAAGGCATCAAGCACCGTCAGTACTGGCAAGGCATCAAGCACTGTCAGCACGGGCAAAGCATCAAGTACCGTTAGCAGCAAGGCATCGAGCACCGTCAGTACTGGCAAGGCATCGAGCACGATTAGTACTGGTAAGGCGTCAACTACTGCTAGTACCCAAGGTTCCACAACCGGCAAGGCTTCAAGCGCCACTTCTAGCAAGGTTTCCTCCACTGCTTCCAGCACTGGAAAAGCCTCCACAACTCAAAGTACTGGTCGTGCCTCTTCTACCACCCTCAGCACTGGTAAAACCTCGTTCAGTAGTCAAGGTACTAGCAAGGCCCCCAGCAGTATCAGCACCGGTAAAGCGTCAACAACCAGCGCAAGCAAGGCTTCAACCACGTTGAGCTCAGGAAAGACGACTGCCTCAGGACCAACATCCTCTACAAAGGTTTCGACCAGTATCTCCACGAGAAAGTCAACGACAGCCAGCGCTGCGACTACCAAGACATCGACTTCGTTGTCCACAGGTAGATCATCTACTCTTGCAAGCTCCACCAGACAAAGTACTTCGTCACAAAAGACTACAGCCTCCTCATTCGCTCCATCAACTACGGCGAAAACTTCAGTGTCTAGTGCGAGAACATCTCAAACAACACTAAAGTCGTCTACTCGGAGTGGAACAACTGCTCAAGCCTCCTCAACGACCGTGAAGACCACTGCTTCTACCGTCAGCACATCTGGTACCTCTAAGGCATCACCAACGTCAGTCCAGAGCACTCTTTCGACTGGTAAATCTTCTCAGACTACTCAGAAGACAACAACGGTGGGATCGACCTCAAAGGCATCATCGACGACCATTAAAACGAGCACGGCTGTGACTACTTCGAAACCCTCAACCTCCAAGTCAGCAACAGCTACAACGAAGCTTTCAAGCTCTTCAGGTGTAAAATCCTCCAGCAAGACATCAGTTCCAGCGAGCACTTCCTCCAAGGCTTCAAGCACACAGCAGTCAACAGTTTCCACCAAATCAGTAACTTCTGCTCTTACGACTTCTTCTAAGGGTGCAAGCTCTACTACACAGTCCATGGCCTCAAGCTCTGTCAAGTCTTCCACGTCCACCAAGGTTGCCACTACTACTCAAAATGCTTCGACTACTAAATCCGTGACTGCAGGATCTACCTCCAAGACCACGGCAACTATTGCTTCATCCTCAAAGAGCACCCAATCTGTCTCGGTTGGCTCGAAGACAACCAACACGCCTTCGGCTTCCAAAACTTCATCGCGAACACTATCAACTGGCAAATCGTCGTCAAGTGGTCTTTCAACTAAGACAAGTACAGCAAACACTTCCTCAAGAACTGCCACTACGGGTATTTCTACCTCGTCTAAGATTTCCACTAAATCAACGACAAGCCAAGGATTCTCAACTTCGGTCGTCAAGTCTTCAAGCACAGCGAGCAAGCCTACCACAAGTTCTTTGGTTAGTAAAACAACCAGTATTTCTTCGAAATCATCAGGTTCACTCGTCTCGTCCACAAAGACTGGTACAAAGTCTAGCTCCTCTGTTGCACCAACGAGCAAGCAGAGTACTACCGCTTTGTCCTCAACCGTCCCTGTCACTACATCTAAGGTGACAAGCAGTGTCGCAACCTCTAAGCCCACTACCACGGTTTCGATTTTGAAATCATCGAGCATCGTAGTCAGCACTTCGTCTGCACCTCAATCCTCGAAAAGTACCACAAATTCAGTGCAGAGCACCAAATCTGCGACCACTTCCAAAGGTGTGACCACAAGTGTCGGCACTACAGCCAAGTCTTCGCAATCCACGGCAGGTTCGTCGACCAAATCTGCCTCTGTAAGTACTTCTAAGGGCATTACGTCCAGTACAATTACGACTGTCAAGACTTCACTGTCATCTATTCGATCATCATCGACGAAGAGTGCTTCTGCTACCACTTCCAAGGGGGTCACATCCAGTGTCGTTTCTACTGGAAAGTCATCGCAATCTTCTGTGCCCTCGTCGACCAAGTCTGCATCCGCTACCACTTCCAAGGGTGTCACGTCTAGTGTTATTTCTACCGGCAAGTCATCGACTAAGAGTGCTTCTGCGACCACTTCCAAGGGTATCACTTCCAGCGTGGTTACCACAGCTAAGTCCTCATCATCAGTACCCTCATCGACCAAGTCTGCATCGGTGACTACTTCAAAGGGTGTCACTTCCAGCGTGGGCACCACAATTAAGTCTTCGCAATCATCCGTGGTCAGTACAACAAAGTCTGCGTCTGCTACCTCGAAGTCAGCTACAACTTCCTCAATCAAGACCAGCGGCTCTGCAGCATCATCAACCAAGTCATCTGCCTTGTCTACGACAAAGGCTACATCCACGTCCGTGAAGCCTTCGTCGACTACCGCTCTTTCAACAGGGAAGACCACTCTTTCTTCGGCGAGTAAGAGCACTTCCACGGGTTCGAAAGTCTCGACAAGCAAATCTGCCATCTCGTCTAGCAAAGTAACTACCAGCACACGTGGAATTTCATCGACAACACAAACTGGTGTATCTACCAGGGTTTCATCCAGCTCCACCGGCAGAATAAGCACCGGCACGGCACCCACTTCGTCGAGAGCATCATCTGCCACAACTAAGGCCACAACCTCCTCTGCTTTGAAATCATCCTCGCTGGTCACTACCTCTGCAACCAAATCAGTTTCAACTTCGGGCTCGACAAAGGCCTCAAGCAAGACGTCGACTCTAGCTACATCTTCTTCAGCCAAAGCTTCGTCGACGTCGAAAGCTTCATCGACTTCGTCGGGTAAAGCTACCACAACTAGTGCTTCCGTTGCAACGTCGACGAAGGTCATTTCAACCTCAACTGCACCTACCACAACCCAGTCAGCGACCAAAACCTCGTCTGCAGCACCAAGCACTTCTGCGTCGATCAAGAGCTCGTCAATTGCAACTTCGAAGTCGAGCACAAATACTTTGAAGACAACCACAAGTTCAAAGCAGCCTTCTTCTACTATTACTACCACTGGTAAGACATCTACTACAGCACCTGTGTCCAGATCATCAGTTTCCACCAGTGGTTTGTCCAGATCGAGTGCAAGCTCAACCGGCATTAGCACCAAATCTACTGGAATCCCGACTACGTCGAAGTCGTCCGCGACCTCTACCGGTATGACTACCAAGTCAACTAGAGCCTCGACTACTTCTCAATCGACTACTGCTTCCACTGGTGTGACTACTAGATCAACTGGAATCTCCACCGTCTCAAGATCCTCGGTTTCCTCGACTGGACTTACCACTAAATCTACTGGCATTACCACGGCATCAAGGTCGACAGCCTCCTCTTCCCAATCTAAATCCACGGGCTCTGTGACGAGCTCCACGGCTCAACGATCGACAACTTCATCCGGATCCAAGTCGATAGTGTCAACAGGAAGCGTGTCAACAAGCGTAAAGAGCAGTACTTCTCAGCCTTCGAGCAAATCAAGCAGTGTCGTAACTAGCAAGAGTCAGTCTCAGACCGTAACGACATCGCGCAGTTCAGCCACAGCCACACAGAGCACAACGAGATCTGTGCCTAGCTCTGCAAGCCAAACTACACAGAGCAAGACCAGCACCGCGGTTAGTTCCAAGTCTACCGGCCTTACTTCCACTCGATCTTCTACTTCAATCGTAAGCTCAACTCAAAGCAAGACACAAGCAACAGTCACGACTAGAAGCTCCTCTAGCTTGTCCAAGTCGACTGTCTCGGGGTCAAAGACAACTTCCACCAAGCCAGTATCTTCTACTAGTCAGAGCAAATCCGGCTCCGTCTCGGCATCTTCAAAGACTTTGTCCTCAGTCTCAAGCCGGAGCACATCGGCCTCAACTGCTCCAGTTTCGAGTACGACAATCTCTGTTTCCAAAGCCACTTCGTCCGCAACTGCTTCCCGTACAACAAGCTCGGCACCAACAGTTTCTTCAACCAAGACCTCTTCTAAGATCTCCTCCACAGGTACACGTTCACAGTCTACCAATACCGCCTCGGTGTCAAAGACTTCCTCACTTGTCAGTTCGAGCGGAAAATCAACTACTCAGTCGACTATTCCCACAAGCACGAGGCCATCTTCCGCGCGCACCTCTTCAAGCGTCAGCCAATCAAGGTCTTCGTCGGCCAGCACCGTGGTAACAACAAAGCCAGCATCTTCCAAGACTTCCACAACCATTGCTACTCGGTCATCAACGATCTCAACAAGCAGCAAGCCAACTATCTCAAGTACGCGTCCTACGACCACAAAGGCTTCTACAGTCACCTCCTCCACTGCAGTAGTTTCTACCAGCTCTGCTAGATCAACCACTTCGGCTCGAGTCACCTCATCTAGCGTTACCAGCAAGTCGGTAAGCCAAGCAACAACTAGGTCTACGAGCTTATCTCAGAGCTCTCCTGTGTCAACAACTTCTGCCTCAAAGACTTCAAAGGCATCCACTACAGTGTCTACACCCACATCTAGAATGTCATCATCGTCAGGAACAGCTTCACAGTCTAAATCCAGCACACGTGCTTCGACCACAGTCAGCATTTCATCGACATCTCCAGCTTCAACCAAGACAACTGGGCTCTCAACCACTTCGGCATCTACTAAGTCGAGCGCCAGCACAGCTATCTCTTCTAGCTCTCGCGCTCCAAGCTCTGTATCAAGCAGCGCTTCGAAGTCCAGCGCTACTACTGCCGCAACTACCAGCACTCGCTCCGGACAAAGATCATCAACATCAGCTCCGACAAGTACCGTGTCTCGAGCTTCAACTACTTCTCTTCGATCGACTTCAGCCGCTCCAAGTACCACATCAAAGACTCAATCTACCATTATGAGCTCAACAAAAACGGCTACAGGTTCTACATCTCGAACCCCATCGTCATCTCAGGTATCTTCGACAGTCAGTAGTGCCACGTCAACCATCAAGTCAAGCTCATCAACAAAGGTCCCGACTACGTCGGCGGTGACCTCGACTTCGCGTTCTATGTCGCCAGTGTCCTCGGTCACAACCTCTTCTCGAGGAAGAACTTCATCGGGAACAAGCTCTGTTCCTGTTCGATCAACTACCGCTAGCTCACGTTCCCAGACTACCGCATTGACAACATCAAGGACTGTCACCTCATCGGCTCCTGTTCAATCTACCAGCGCCAGCTCACGCACTCAGACTACCGGCCTTACTACCTCCGGCACCGTTACTTCCTCAGCTTCTTCACGGTCATCAACAGCTCCGGCTTCGTCGTCTTCCTCCACAAGGGTTGCTTCAAGCTCATCGGGGGCAAGTACCACTCGGCCCAGCACCAGCGCAACAGCGACAACTAGCCGTGTTGCGACCTCGACCACTGTATCTACCGCATCGAAGGCTAGCTCAACCACAAGCGTCTCTGTTGGTTCTTCCACACGGGTTTCTACCACATCCGCGGGAACAACAACAAGACAGACGACATCGTCTGCACCCAGCGTTTCTACCACAGCCTCTACTCGACCAACCACCAGTACCACTGCAACAACGAGACAAACGACATCCGCCTCTGCCCCAGGCACTTCGACTACAGTGTCTACACGACAGACCACTAGTTCTGGGGCCACGACTAGACAAACAACTTCTGCTCCAGGTACTTCGAGCACGGTCTCAACACAACAGACTACTAGCACTTCGAAGGCTCAAACCACCGCCTCCACAGCTTCTACTGGTATTGCCAGCACCTCCAGGACAACAACTGGGCGGGCTAGCACCACCACGAGCGCAAGTGTTTCCACCGGCAAGACTTCGGCCTCTTCTGTTTCAACTGGCGTCACCAGCTCGTCGAAGACAACCACAGCTCCGGTCACAGCTTCCACTAGTAGTAGTGTTTCCACAGGCCGAAGCTCTGCCTCTTCAGCCTCCACCTCCACTGTGGTCACATCCCGGTCCACAACAGCACAGGCATCTACTACCACTAGCAGCGGCGTGTCAACCGGCAAGACATCTGCTGCTTCTACCTCCAGTGGAGTGGTCACTTCTTCCAAGAGCACGACCGCACAGGCCACAACATCTACCAGCAGTGGCGTCTCGACCGGCAGAACCTCTGCCACATCGACTTCCACTGGCGGAGCTAGCACTTCCAAGACAGCAACAAGTGGCGTGAGCAGTAGTACTAGCTCTGCGTTTTCTACGGGTCGGACCACAACCTCCGCTGCGTCGACAACTATCAAGACTTCCAGCATTGCTTCTACAGGTACTGTTAGTACAAGCAAGACCACAATTCAAAGTTCTTCCACGGCCACTGTAAGCACTGCCAAGACCACCTCCTCAGGTATTGTCAGCACAGCCAGCACTGCAAAGACGACGGCCCCAACCACCTCTTCTGGTATTGTCAGCACTGCCAGCACTGCAAAGACGACGGCACCTACAACTTCTTCAGGTATTGTCAGCACAGTAAAGACTACCTCCTCAGGAATTGTCAGCACTGGAAAGACAACTGCCCAAACCACTTCCACAGGTGCGCTCAGCACGGGCAAGACCCAATCCAGGACGGCACCCGTCACGACCAAGACATTGTCCTTCACCACACCAGTACCTGTCAAGTCTACTACGAAGTGGTCCACCAAGACGAAGCCAACCCAGCCTCCAAAAACTACTCAACCTCCCAAGACCACTAAGAGTCAAGGCAAGCCCACTGCCACGCCCACCCCAGCTCCATCAACGACCACCAAGGAGTACCCCGGTTGGCTTGGATGGAATAACCGCCCAAAGCCAACAGGGGAGTCGTCTACTGCCACTCAAGAGAATTATCCTGGATGGCTGGCATGGAATAATCGCCCCAAGCCTACAGGACAGAGCAACCACGATGACCAAGGTCATTGGTGGCAGCCACCACATCACAACAGCAACGGCAACAACGGCAATGACAATAATGACGACAACGATAAGCATGATATCTTCTCGTTCTGGCAAGGTGGATGGAAGAATGGAAAGGGAGATTCCGACAACAGTGAAGGAACCAATGGGGACAAACCAAGCGGTTTCTGGTGGAAGCCCAAAGACAAGGATGGCAATGACAAGCCCAGACCTTCGTGGTGGAATCAATGGAAGGAGGCTTCGGAAGAGAAGAGTGACGATGGCAAGCCCAACAGGCCATCTTGGTGGAATCAGTGGAAGGATGCTTCCGATAATGCCAAGGACCGCAAGGACAATGGTGACAATTGGGCTGAGTGGAAAGGTGATGATCAGCCGCAAGGCCGGAAGGGGCGTTACATGATGAGAAGATAGGCGTTCACTGAACGTCGCCCTCAGCGTCGCTCTTAATTGTTTCCATCTCATGCTTATTTCTACAGGAGGAAGCCGCAAGGCATTTTGGAAAAGTTTCAGTAAGGCTCTTCAGTTGAGCAGGGATTCATATTGTGACTACCCTTGAGGGAAAGTCTTTTTGTTCTTATCACTTCGAGACTTTCCTTCACGACTAGTTTAGCTACATCATTAATGTTTATATTGTGACTACCAAAAAAATATCTTGTGAACTCTACAGTTTGTTCCTTCGCTCTTCTCATTGCTCCTTTGAATGATGGAAACCAACAGCTGTGATAATTCTTCCATCGGCCTCTCCAGGTCAACTTGAGCGGGGCAAGGATCAAGAGTACATTGTCGAACGTGGATCAACGTGGATTGTCGACATTTTTGCATTTCAGTGGAGCTTTCCCTATAAATCAAGATTACCTGTGCTGCGAACCACTCCCATTCAGAGCCTAACAAGTGATGATGACCGTACATAGCTAATGTCCAGATCCTGCTTGGTGGCGCACAATGTTAAGTGAATCTAACACCGCCCGTCGCTTGCAAGTCACTATCATCATACTCATCCCGACGCTTATAACCCAAGCCTCCAATACCATTGGCACCATCCTGACGACCAAGAGGTGTCATATCCAACCACAACAGCGTGCCGATCTGTGCTTCCCCACCTCTCGCATAAGTACTATACGTGTGATAGATCTTACCTTCTTCACCAATGCCTAAGCCACCCTTGACAAACACCGAAGTGCCCGGCTGCTCGCCCCGGGTGAAATGCAGCATCTTCCTGTCCTTCAACTCATCCTCGCTGAGGAAATTGTACTGGACGGGCTTGACCTCGGGATCCGTGCTGACGTTGAAGTCGAAGTTGAAGTCTGTGCCGTAGGAACTCACCCAGGGGAACGTGAAGCCGAGGCGTTTCTTGTAGGCTTCGATTTTGTCGATCGGGGCGCGCGACACAGCTGCGAACGACGTGTTGTGTGATTTCAAATGCTCCAGTGGTGGGATGTGGTCCCCCATCAGCGTGCAGGAGGGACAGCCGGCGTCGCGGTCGGGCTCGAACATGAAGTGGTAGATGATGAGTTGGGGGCGGCCGTCGAAGAGATCTTCTAGTGATACCTCCTTCGTGGTGCCGGAGGGGTCCACGCTCTGGAACCTGTAGGGTTTGGTGATCTCAATTGCCGGGAGTGCTTGGCGGAGTTTGGTCAACTCGTCGCGCTGGCGTGTGTGCGCCTTCTCCTTCTCGAGGAGCGAGAGACGGAGTTTGAGGTATTCGGACGATTCGACGACCTGTTTCATGATTGGGGGTGTTAGAAGGTTGGGGTTTTTGCCGTTGTTGATATCGAGACGCGTGGTTACCTTGATTGCCATGACGGAAGTCTTTTTGAGACTCTAGAAACTCTATTATCGACTTCGAGGAGTGGAGGAAAGTGCTCGCGTTGATTCTGGTGCTTGCACAGAAAATCTCAAAGAACTTCGAGGCATATATATATATCTACATGGAGTAAGGAACCTACCTCTCTCCCGCCCTCGAGTACCACGATATGCTCACATTCAAGGCTTTCGTATTCCCCATTAGGGAGTGTGAATACGAGGACGAATTCATCCGCGCCCGATGGGCTGCCGACTGCGACTCTTCCACCTCCAGGCTTGTAGTAACAGCAAGGGTTGTAGAAGCTGAAGATTGGTGGTGAGTGAGATCTTCTGTCAGGATCCTGAGGGGTAAAGCAGCCACCTTCGTGTTATTGCACAAAATCAAATCCTCACTCCGCGGCGGGCCAGGCACCTTCACCTCAGCCATTGGGTGAGGTGTGAACGCGGAGTCATGTGAGTTGGCGTTTGGCCAAACTTTTGTTCTGCCTGATCGCGCCTGGAAACCCCCTGTCCTCTACCCGGAGCGTGCCTGGATTTCCAGGCATCAACGTGGCCAACATGACGAATCTGGGCGTGCTTAAGGTTCCGTGGAAGTCAAGGCTGATTAAGCAATACATTTGAGCGTCGGGAGGAATACTCAACATTCATTTTTACTGCAGGACGACGATCGTGCAATTCGTGATGGATTGTTGCATTGTTTGTGCACCAGAGGGCAGAGGGCAGAAGAGGTCAAAGCCTTTAGGTACCTAGGTAGGTACGGTCCCTAACTTAGGCACCTAAGGTAGGTCTGTGTACTCGGTACTAGGCAGTCTGAGCCCCGAGGCTGTTCTTCGGAGACGGGTTAATCCGAAAACATTGTGTTCAAATTGTCGGCTTCTGGCATTGCCGGGCGCATGGCTTCACAACCTTACCCTAGTTGACTGGGTATCCATGATTATTTATTTCTCCAGGGAATGTCCCTCGCAGATCCTTTGTGTCAAGAATTGGAACGCCTGGACACCAAGAGGTTTAAAACCCGTCAAGTTGGGTGAAGGGGTATGTGAGTGGTTAAATGGCTGATACACGCCGAGTGTATCATCATGTTTCAAGGACACTCAGTGGTCGCTTGGCAGTTGGCTGGCCAGGACCGTCGCTTAACCAGCAACCAGCAATCTAACCACAGCGTGCGAAGGGTCGTCGGCCGCTCAAACCGTTCCCCCCTCTCCAAAGGACGAGCGAGATCTGGGAGCGATGTTTTGTTTCCGACAATAATGAACACGGTTGATTTTCTACCGGATTTTCGAAAAAAGGTTCGTCTCTTGTTCTAAGTTTTGTATTTATGACTGTCTACCTTTCAAGTTTCGAACACCTATACCTGGTGTATATAGAAACATGAAAAGGGGGGAACACAACCTAGCAATCGTGGACGTAGGCGATCCCGCACACCCGCCTCCCAAAATGACGGTAAACGGCCAGCCAGCCATTGGACTGGCGTTCATTTCCTGAACCTCATAAACTCCTTCCTCCACATTTGCCCTGTTGGCCGGGTCCTCTGGGCCCCATCTTCTTTTTCTCCTCGGTCGTTCCAGGTCAGGGGGTTTTGTGGTTTGGTTGTCGAGTAAATGCGCGCAAAAATGAATGGTGAAAAAACTATTGTCTGGTTATACATCTCTATAGGTGAAGTCGGTGGGAATTGAAAAGGGGGGTAGTATTGTGTTGCAGACGATGCTGAGCGTGATTTTGAGACATGGGTCTTTTGGTGATGGATTTTTAGGTCGTAACGTGCCTACCCAAGTGGCAAAACAACTGAATAAAGTCGTATGGGTATTTGCGGGTTCCAATTGATCATGCAATCATGTCTCGAGCAACGAATCGCCCTCTTCCACGGCCAAATCGTCCACGGCCAAATCTGCCACCTCCTCGTCCTCCGTTGGCTGCCGTGGTGGTAGCAGCTCCTGCAGCGGCGGTGGTGGTAGCAGCTCCACCTGCTGCAGCAGTCGTAGTGGCGGCACCTCCAGCATTTCCGCCATTGTTGCCGCCGTTGCCTCCGTTGTTGCCACCGTTGTTTCCGTTGCCTTGGCCATTTCCGTTACCAGTAGCGGCACTCGTGGCAGCGGCAGCAGCTGATGTGGTTGCAGCAGCTCCTCCGTTTCCACCGTTGTTGCCTTGATTGCCGCCGGTATTGCCTCCGTTGTTACCTCCGTTGTTTCCGCCAGTATTGCCGCCGTTGTTACCTCCAGTATTGCCTCCGTTGTTTCCGCCAGCATTGCCTCCAGCGTTGCCTCCAGCGTTGCCTCCAGCGTTGCCATTTCCACCAACGGTGAACTTGTTGCAATCATCTTGAGCTCCACGTTGTGCAACCTGGGAACTATTAGTATAATCCATTTTATTGTTCGAAGTTGTACTTACAGGCATGAGAACGGGTTGATGGTTGGAAGCCGAGTTCATAGTGCAGATACGATAAGTTCCTGCGGGGAGACCACCCTTGACCGTGGCTTGAAGGAGACCGGCTCCGTTACCATCGTCATTGATACCCTTGAAGAATGCGAACTTCTTTGGATCCGGGCCTTGTGTTGGGTTGATGTTGTTGTTGAGATCTTGAACAGTAACGTGGCAATGGCCAACAATGTTTCCACCCTGGAGTTCCTGGGGTGCCGCATAGTAGGTGTTGATGGGATCGGTGAAGGATCCAGCAACCAGGTTCGTGATCTGGACCTGGACGTTAAAGTCTTGGTTGGCAGCGATATTATCGTTGTGCTTGGGAAAGACGACAATTGAGGAGACCATGTTGTTGTTGGACGGGATATCACCCATAACGATACCGTTGCACGAACCTTGGGTAACTTGCTTGCCGTTCGTGATGGTCTTGCCGGTACAGAAATTGATGAAGTTGAATGGATCAGTCTTGGAGTTGGACTGGCCAGCAGCAATATCGGGTGTGCCTTGCGAGTTTGATGCTGCTTGGACATTGGCTTGAAGCAGTGTCAGACCGTTGGCATTTCCGCCGCCATTGTTTCCATTATTGCCGTTGTTATTGTTGTTGCCCCCGTTATTGTTGTTGTTGTTTCCACCTTGGGCGTTGACGTTGTTGTTGTTGTTATTGTTGTTATTCCCGCCGTTGTTGTTCTGTGCAAAGCCTTGCGAAACCAGGCCTAAGGCAGTCACTGCAGCTGCGAGGTATTGAGTCGACTTCATCTTGTCCTCGGGTGCTTTGGAATTTTCCTAAGTGTAAAAAGTCTTGATTGGATTTGGGAGTGCGGGATCAAAAATAGAACAGAGTCGAACGAAAGACTTCGCGGTCAACGCGGTCGAGAATTGAATAAGGAATGTGAGAAGAAAACTGTGAGGAATACACACACAATGGAAAGGAATGTTAGAGGCACTGCCACGATGAAGAATGGAAAGGTAAACCGGAACCCATCATGGACAGGTAGACACTCTTATGTGAATGACTTGGCAGGGAAGTGAATCCAGGTTAGGCACAGTGTTTATGGTCCATGGTGATTTCCTTGAGGCTGGAAACGTTTCCAAGTCCTCAGGATGACACAAAGATGCCTCCTGGTGCATCAGATTTCAGAGGAGCTAGAGCAAGGTTGCTTGGTTACAGGTCGGTTGCAGTGTGTGAGCCTCTGTCAAAACAAGCATTGCCAATGTTTTGGATGCAGAGATGGTGTACCTAGAATCGAGACAATCATGGGTTGGGAGCGGCGAAGATGAAGCTGAGATGGTTTCGAGTTGTGTCGGAGATGAACCTGCCAGTGGCCTCCTGAAACAGGCGGTTGGAGGCTGAGATGCGCGATGTCTTGGTAAGGTTGTGGTGTCTAACTATTTAGAGATTAGCCTATTCACTACGCTGGTAATCCCGCCTTTTAGATGCCCTTAGCGCGGCACTAGTGCCTCCCTTTGTCTTCCTCCTAACAACGTCATATTCCACTATACTTTGACTCCTTTAGGCCGCCTCAAACACCTAGATTCTCAATGCCCATGCCATCCCCCTTTCACTCCAGATTCAACCTTCCCTCCTGCAATTCCTCGCTCCCTTCGGTCATCAACCTCCCCTACCAAGCTAGTCCTGAAGAGTTCTTGTCTACCCTGTATGTATGCAAGATCTCCAACGCTTGGACTCACACCATTCCTTAGCCGAGTCTCTGGAAATAGACCTCACCCCCACCTTCGCATGTGTCATAGGCCGAAGTTCGTCCCTGTCCCCTTCCAAACAACGACTTCTCCATGCTTTCACCCTGCACAATCTGCCTTGGCTACACCAAGCTTTCAGTCAAGCTTTGGGGCCGTCGATGATCGATCGGGTTCTTGCTGGACTCAACATGAAGCAAATTGCAAACCAGGAGGCGTTCTCCCTCTGCCATCGGTTCCCCGTTTAGGTCAGCCTTGAGTTCTTGGTACGTTTGGCTAGGACGATCAGCTTTAACCGAGCCCTTATTGGATGCGCCTGGTATCCGACTCTTCATTCTGGCAAAAGTACGGAGCAGAGCAGAGACGCATAAGTTACTATGGGTGACTAGTTTTGTTCACTTTCAATAAACCCGGCATAAAGGAGGTATGTTCTCGTATCTGACAACTGTTGAATGTACGGCGCATTTTGACGGAACGGGAGTAACCCGATTCATCATCACCAAGGAAGTCATTGCCACGCATGTTGAGACCTGTCACAGAAGTTCTAGATCCACATGGCCCAACGCCTACCGACACGGTGAGGAGAGCCAGAACCAGGCTCACGAATCCTCTAGGTTTCTCAGTGCCCCGTGCGAATGCTTGGTTACGCCTCGTCCCCAACGCTACATGTCGCAACCATACGATCGACGAGCGCATGACCATCTAGGGTTCTACAGCCGGGTGCCGACTATCCGAGAGAGAAACGGCGTGCTCAATGCTGTTAAGATTGGGGCATCCCATCGGTATCAAACCTATCCGAGATCAAGCTTTGGAATAAACGGCGCCTTAATCTACGCAACCAGGCTCGTTGCTCATCATACGAAGTAGATGAACCAAGCGCCGTTGCGAAAGTGCCTTTCTGGTCGGTTGTCTAATCAAACCCACGTTTTCGTATCCTTTTACTTGTGAAAACCAATCATGCTCCCAATAGCTGACCACTAGAAAACACTGTACCCCTTCCGGAAAGGATGATATTGACAATGCTTGTTTTACCCTGCGAGTCCGTCTTGACGTCCACCTCAACGGCGATAGTGCACGCACGGCCCATTTCAATACCTTGCTGAATTCCAAAAACCATCCTCTCAGTCTTCTCCTCGATCTTCAGATCTTTAGTTTTTGCCTCGACCTTCTCCACGACTTTTTCTACTGGCTCTGAGTCTGGGTCTGCACTAGCCGAATCATCACTGACTGGTTCGCTTTTCTTGGGTTCTGCGGAAGAGCGTGGGTTCAGTGCCAAATAACACGACAGCGCAGAACATGCGCTCCCAGTACCCGGATCCTCAATGCCGTGCGATATCATGCGGGCCTGAATGTTGTGGATCGTGGGCTCGCCGTCCTGCTCCGCAAGCCCTACGACCTTGTAGAACAAACAGCCCACGAAGCTTGGTGACCACTCTCGATCAAGTTCGGCCTCCGGCGCTTGACCCGGCTGCAGGGCGGCGAGGACTTCAGGTGCATCGGTCAAGTCTACGAGCGCAAAACTCATTCCCTTCACGATCGAGACAATGGGCCAAGATCTTCCCTTGACTTTCTCGATGGTCGGCACGATCTGGACGTGCGGTTGGACAGTGATGACCTTTTCGAGCGAGACCTGGTTGGAGTGGACATGGAACTGGAACGGGACGGCGCATGCCGCGACCTGCCTGTAAATGTTGTAGAAGATCGGGATGCGGCCGGCTTTGGTCTGGAGAACAGCGGTCTGCTGGCCTGTTTCTCGGTCTTCGGGTCCTCGGTATGCCATTTTCTCGAGATACGTAAATATCTAAGCCTACATTAACAATGTTTGTTCCTGGAATGAACTCAAGGTGCATGATCGCGATGGTCTTCTTACATAATGTGCTGTTCCAATGATCTGGAGATTAGCCTCGTCATTAGCGATCGCCCTCACTCACGCACGTAAACATAGACCGACTAAGCCTATCCACTCACCGGGTGTCCAGCAAAAGGCACCTCCTCGCCAGTCTCGGTGAAGATCTCACACAATCTCGGACGACCTGGACCCGGTGCATCGTGGAGGAAAACTGTTTCCGAGTATCCAAATTCTCTTGCGATGAGAGATTTGCGCTTCTGGGACAGTGCGTTGCCGCGCACCGAAACGATTGCCAGGCGATTGCCCTGGAACTTTTCCGCCGAGAAGACCTGATGAGTTGTCTTCTTGTCAGTGGATTATTCGAAGTTATGTATGTAGTGACTGTATTATGGGAATCAATGGCCTGAGTTGGCGGTCTCACGGCGTGGCCGCCTCCTCTCAGTGCCCCGGGATCGAAGGGTGGCGCGTGGTCGAATTCACGGATCCATCTGGCAATCAGACCACATCCATATAGAAGCGATGAGATCTCAAGCTGTTCCCTCGTCGCCAAGTGGCATAGTCCGTAGAGAGCATAGAACGCATACTTACCGACATGGTGACGAAAGTATGAGGTCCGCTAGCCATCTTATCAAGGATGTGCAGGAGTACCCCGCTATTGACAATGAGTATTGCAGCTAGTTCCAACAAAGGTTCATGAAGCTAGAGAGGCCAATTCTGCTTGTATCGTCGTCGTTCTTGTCCAACGTGCGCTGATGTTTAACGGGTTGGTATGTCGTGTTGAAGTCGAAGCATGTTGCCATCAGCCGACTGCTTTCAGCTCCGCAAATGATATTTATATTCCCCGCCAAGGCGTCCACCCAAGGTGTACCATGTACCTAAGTACTGATTAACTATTCTCACCTTGCCGTTCAGCCATACCTACTAGATACTTTCTTAATCTCATGATCAATTCAAATACACCGTATGCTTAGGAACAAATCAAAATATGTTTCATGATTCGAGAAGTGTTCAATTGTTATAGTAGAACTCCTCGTCCATACATATGCCGTGTACACCGTCAAGGGATTCGACATCGCCGACTACAACATGCTGATCAGGCTCTTAGATAGTGTTCATAGCGATGCATGCAAAGGTGGAGGAAGGTGAAACTGCTTCGTAGCAGCACATTTGGACGACCATGTCGTCTTGGACGATTTCAAGTGTGATCATGGTAGTCTTCGACTTTTCTATCCCTAGTATCATACATTGAGTTGGAGGGTACTGATTATACTGAAGACAATCCCAAAGCAAGTAATGTACACTCTTGTCCCTACCACTGATATAAAACTATTGCGGAATGTTTCCTGATAGCAGTTTATCTTCCAACAAGATTAGTCGCCGTTTTAAATCCCCCGAGTGCCGCGTCGCTATGAAGTAACATGAGTAGAATTACGAGTTGACTTGCTATCCAGACCCGGATGCTTTCTTTGGCTCTTCGTCATCCTTTGATGTTGGTTTTTCTTCTTTCTTATCCTTGGCTTCAGGTTCAAGATTGTCGTGCTGATGAGTAAGTTTGTGCCATGCAGACTTCAAGAACCCTTCATTCTTGTGATCTTCTGATTTGTTGGATGTTTTTGATGGCTTGTCCTTTGACTCTCTGCATAGAACGTTAGCGCGAACTGCTCGAAGTTGGGATATGGGGCTTGACTTACTCCTTATACTGGTTGAGATTCATAATTCTCTTTGCTGTCTTGTCATCCATCTCATCGGCTAGCATTTCGATAATAGTACGTTGATTAGCACTCCAATACTTTGGCATATTGACTTTGAATTCGACCCGGAGATCTCCAGAAGAGTTGCGACCACCACTCAATCTTTTCATACCCATCCCGGGAAGAGTTATCTTGTCACCTGTGCCTGTACCGGTTGCAACCTTGACTTTGACTTCTCCATCAAGAGTTGGAATTTGAACTTGACCACCAAGAAGAGCGGTTGTCAATGGCAAGGTGGCGGTATAAAGGACATCTGCCCCATTGCGGCGGAACCTAGCATCTGGGGCGACTCTGATGAAGACGAACAGATCTCCAGTCTGAGATCGTGCATTTGGATTGGATGACAAACCCGTGGGAGCTGCGTCACCTTCACCAACAACCCTCATCCGCATCGCATCTTCCACTCCTGCAGGGATCTCCACAGGTATAGTCTTACGTTGCCTCACGACACCATTCCCGCTGCAAGTGTTGCATTCGGAACCCCTAGGAACGGTCTGACCACTTCCAGAGCATGTAGAGCATGTGCTAGCCATCTGGAATCCTTGCTGCATCACATGAACCCGGCTGCCAGTACCGCCACAGCTCTTACACGTCTGCCTTGATGAGCCCGCCTTGAGACCATTGCCATGGCATGTCCCACACTGGACTAAAGGTGTAATGGTGATGTTTTTGGTCACACCTTTGGCTGCATCCATGAAGGATATATTGGTCTGAACCTCAATATTTTCACCCAATAGCACTTCCTCTTGCTGGAATCCTCCTCCTCTTCGACCGCGACCGCGACCAGCCCCTCCCGTAAAGGCACCGAAGAGATCCTCGAAATTGAACTCTGCGCCGAATCCTCCACCGAAGCCAGAAAATGGGCCTCCTGCACCCGCAAATGGGTTTCCGCCGCCTGCGCTGGGGTCAAACCCTGCGCCTTGATCGAAAGCAGCAGAACCGTACTGGTCATAGGTAGCCTTCTTCTGAGGATCATTTAATAATTCGTAGGCAGCCTGGGCATCGGTGAAATGTTCTTTTGCCGAGGGATCTTTGTTTGTGTCGGGATGATATTTTTTGGCAAGCGCATAGTAGGCTTTTTTTATCTCGGAGGAGGTCGCGGTCTTGCCTACACCTAGAGTTGCGTAAGGGTCCTTTGTAGCTAGTTGTGAAGAGGTGACAGAGAATGGTCGAGTTTGTGTCTTTGAACTGAAGGGTGTGAAGGCTATCGAGGGTTCCCGAGAGAGCGTTTTCTTTGCAACGCCGGGTCGACAAAGAGTTCTACTCGAGGGCTGTGCATCGTGGAAAGACCGTGTCTGGGCCTTGCGTGTGAATGTATGTGAATGTCGAGGACATTGAATAGTTGTTCTTATCAACCGACCAGGAACAGGAGCCGTGCCGGCCCAAACGGCGCCCGCCACACTCATGGAGAACAAATTGACTGGTTTTATACAGAACGTTTACTGTACATTGAGACGAAAGGATGACGAAGACAACAGGGAACAAGAAGCGAATGGTGAAGATGATAGGGATGGTTGTCGGAGGGAGATGCGATCTTGATCTCGTTGACTTTTTTGGAGCAGAGAAACTTCTGGAGTTCGGATAATCTTGCAACGCCGATGACAACCGCGATTGGGGGAGGATCGTTCTGCCATCTCCGATGCAGGTCCGAGACGGCACGTGATACCGAGCAATTCTTAGTCAGCTTGGTGGTCGCATTTACTTCTCGCCGCACTTTCCGTTTAAGGACCATCCTTCGCCGCACCTGCCCCTTTGGAACTCTGATTCCAATATCGATGATCTCAACTTGAATCATAAATCATATTGTTCGGCCGATGCTCCATCGACTTACGCCACGCCAGACTGCCTGCCTCCTCCATTCACCCTCCATCATCTCATCATTCGCACTTACTCGTATTTGGAGGAGTTTCATCTTGTGCACTCCGGCAACAACTGGTTTCCCATTTCTAAGCTACTTCACCTCTAGGCCACCAGGCCGACGCCATCATACCTCATCTCGTCTCTCGGCTTGACTAGAGCATGCTTCGAGGCCAACTCCTGCCCTGGAGAACCGTCCTCCACAACGGTCAGCGCACAGTTTGTCGGGATTGCAGGCGTCAGATCTTGCAGCGACATGCCTCATTCTATTCTGTGTCCGCTCGACAGCCTGCAAGTTACCTCTCCGCGAGTCCCAAGTTGAATGGATTACAAATACGACAGTTCTCATCCCACCCTGTCCGTCGGAAAGACAAACCTCCTGAAGATGACCCCTCCGCGAACAACGAAGAGCCGGACACAAAACCAAAGAAGGTCGAAGATGAAATAGAAGAGGCTCCCCGGACCGAAGACAGCGCTGAGGCCAAGAAATCCCCGTCCGAGCCGCAACCCATACCTCAATCCTCAAGTGAGGGGAGACCTGCAGGCGCAGCTGGCAACGGAAGCGATGCCACGTCGAGCTCAGCCCAGGGTTCCGTTCCTAACGAAGGGTCCAAACGTGGACGTCGTACCACCCAAATCTCGAAGCCCACCGTCCCCGAAACCTACCCGCAGGTCATGGCCATACCTATTGCCAAACGTCCTTTGTTTCCTGGATTTTACAAGGCCATCACTATCCGAGATCCTAATGTGGTCGCAGCCATCCAAGAGATGATGAAGCGAGGACAGCCCTATGTTGGGGCTTTCCTGTTCAAAGATGACACAGCAGATAAGGATGTCATTGACAAGATGGATGACGTTCATGATGTGGGAGTCTTCGCCCAAATTACCAGCGCTTTCCCCGTTCATGGCGATGAGCATAGCCTGACTGCGGTGCTATATCCGCACAGAAGAATAAAAATGTCAAGTCTGCTACCTCCTTCGACCTCCGGCGAGCAAGGAGCAGTGGCGGTTGCTGAAATCCTCCCTGCGAATGAGCAAAAATCCAAAGCCGACGGGACCGAGGGTAAGGGTGATGTTGTGGCAAGTTTCGAGGAGCCTGTAAAAGAAGTGAAAGCCCCTCAAGCCACTGTTTATGAGCCGACAGCATTCCTACGTAAATACCCTGTTTCTCTGGTCAACGTCGAAAACCTTACTGAGGTTGCACACGACAAGAAGAGTGATGTGATCCGGGCACTTACTTCAGAGATCGTCAATGTCTTCAAAGAGGTAGCCACAATAAACACAATCTTTCGTGACCAGATATCCGACTTCAGCGTCTCACAATCAGCAGGCAATGTCATTGAAGAACCTGCAAAACTTGCCGACTTCGCTGCAGCTGTCTCAGTGGGAGAAATCGATGAATTGCAAGACATTCTGCAAACCATGAATGTGGAGGAACGTCTTCACAAGGCTCTCGTTGTTCTCAAGAAGGAGCTGATGAATGCCAAACTCCAGACAAAAATTTCCAAAGATGTCGAGAGCAAGATCCAGAAACGCCAACGTGAATATTGGCTTATGGAACAGATGAAAGGCATCCGTCGAGAACTCGGTATCGAAGTTGATGGGAAAGACAAATTGGTTGAGAAATTCCGGGAACGGGGACAGAAATTGGCAATGCCAGAAGCTGTCAAGAAGGTGTTTGACGAGGAACTCAACAAACTTGCACATCTAGAACCGGCTGCATCAGAATTCAACGTCACGAGGAATTACCTTGACTGGATCACCCAGATTCCATGGGGTCAAAGAAGCGCTGAGAATTTTGGGATTAAGAATGCCATGACCGTGCTTGATGAGGACCATTATGGCCTGAAAGATGTCAAAGACAGAATCCTTGAATTCATTGCTGTTGGCAAACTTCGGGGTACAGTAGAAGGCAAGATCCTATGTTTCGTCGGTCCCCCAGGCGTGGGTAAGACTTCGATCGGAAAGTCGATTGCTCGCGCTCTCAATCGGCAATACTACCGTTTCAGTGTGGGCGGTCTCACAGATGTTGCTGAGATCAAGGGACATCGACGTACTTATGTTGGAGCTCTCCCTGGTCGCATCATCCAAGCGTTGAAGAAATGCCAAACCGAGAATCCGCTTATTCTAATCGACGAGGTTGACAAGATCGGCCGAGGTCATCAAGGTGATCCTGCTTCTGCACTTCTCGAGTTGCTCGATCCAGAACAGAACTCCAGCTTTTTGGACCATTACATGGATGTCCCAGTGGACTTGTCCAAGGTCCTCTTCGTCTGCACTGCCAATCTCACTGATACCATTCCCCGTCCTTTACTAGATCGAATGGAGCTCATTGAATTGAGTGGCTATGTTGCTAATGAGAAGAAGGCTATTGCCGATCGATACCTCGCCCCGCAAGCCAAAGAGCTTTCTGGCCTGAAAGATGTGGACGTCACTCTTGACGAGTCTGCTATCGAGGAATTGATCAATAAGTACTGCCGCGAATCCGGTGTCCGCAATCTCAAAAAGCAAATAGAGAAGGTCTATCGCAAATCAGCATTGAAAATTATCCAGGACCTTGGAGAGGATGCCTTACCAGAGTCCGAGGCCTTGACTGATGAGGGCAAGGCTGCTTTGGAGGAAAGTAAGAAGGACGATACCGACGTCAAAACCACCCCAGAAACCATCGAGAACGAAACAACAGAAAAGCCTCGAGTTGCTCTGAAAGTCCCTGACACCGTTCATGTCAACATCACCAAAGATAACCTGAAAGATTACGTTGGCCCTCCCATCTTTACAGCCGATCGTTTGTACGAGACGACGCCTCCAGGTGTGACCATGGGTCTTGCATGGACTAGCATGGGAGGTGCAGCACTTTATATCGAATCAATCCTTGAATCTGCATTATCACATCAAAGCCGACCCGGCTTCCAGCAAACTGGAAACCTCAAGAACGTCATGAAAGAATCAACAGCCATCGCCTACTCCTTTGCGAAATCTGTCATTGCCAACAGATTCCCTAAGAACAGGTTCTTTGATCATGCAAAGATCCATCTGCATTGCCCTGAAGGTGCCGTACAGAAGGATGGACCTTCTGCTGGCATCACAATGGCCACCTCGCTATTGAGTTTGGCGATGGATAAGAAAGTCGATCCTGCTCTAGCTATGACGGGTGAATTGACGGTGACGGGTAAAGTTTTGAGAATCGGTGGGTTGAGAGAGAAGACTGTCGCAGCAAGGCGAGCAGGATGTTCTAAGATTCTTTTCCCCAAGGACAATTGGGGCGATTGGTGCGAGTTGCCAGAGGTAAGTCCATTCCCACTTCAACTGAGTTGACTCCAATAAAAGCATTGCTAACACTGTTGCCAAATAGAACATCAAGGAAGGAATTGAAGGCCATGCTGTCGACTGGTACAATGATGTGTTTGAACTCGTCTTCCCCGACATCAAGAAAGACGAGGTCAACAACCGGTGGAAGTCCGCTTTGAAGGAGAAAGATTCCGACAAGAAGTCGAGGAAAAATAAGGAAAAAGACGAGGAGAATGAGTCTGACTCCGACGACGATTGATCGATTTTTCCACTGCCTCTCCACTAATTTTGATCTTCGATGGGTGGACCATCGGTCATTCCCGATTTCAATACCTCCTGATGCCTTGTGACTCTTGCGAGTTCGGGGACTCCAAGAAGTCCTTGGGGTCCTTGAGAGTACTTCTTCAGTTGAGCATTCAAGTCATTCCATTTCGCAGGTATGTCCGGACGCCCAATCCGGAGTTTGGTTAGAAATGCAGATTGATTGTATATAAACGCTCAGCACATTGCAGTTCGCGGACACGGCCAGCATTTACAGGAGGCGCAGGAACGATAAAACATAGATCTGAATGATTCCATGCTGAGTTTGAGCTCTCGGTACTGGATCCGGTGTGTGGTTTTTCCAAACAAACATCTCTCTTGGATTTGATGCGACTGATGTGGAATGAATTCTCTGCTCTACCCAGTTTTGAGGTTGGCTGGTTGTATGTAGGATAGTATAGGATAGAACCCCTTTATAGCGTCATGCCTGCATGGATGTATATCAGAGAGGAAATCTAATCGACGATTGTGGTGCCCTCCAGCCCATGACCATGTTTCCCTCTATTCGTTGTTCATCTAGTCATTCTGCAGGTGGTTAATTCTTGTTCTTGTTCTCATGCATCAACAGTTCTGTTGACGATACGTCGCACGTCGACTTCAGGTCATCCATTGTCTCTGACGTCTTCCTCGTCTTCCTCTTCGCTATCGGCGACCTCACCGTCAGACGAATACCGCGGCACCATATCTTCAGATCCTCGAATTTCGCCGTGGGAGCCGTAATCTTGTGGCATCAATGTCGCGTGCCGGCCGAGGAGCATTTCTTCTTCGCTGTCTCCATGTTCTGTATTGGCATGCTCTTCGATTGAGGACAGGCACGAGAGAGGGGTCTTTTCGTCATCCGATGCGATGGCGCTGTCCTGTGGTGCCGGTGACATGGCAGATTCTGGTCTTGGTAGATCATATTCGTGATGCTCTCGTATATGGCTATCGGCGGATTGCACTAGCTGCTCGTTTTCGTCCTCTTCGTAGCGATGTGATGTTTCTTCTACTTCGGCGAGGTTTCGATCGTGATGGGTTAGCACATAGTCGTCATCATGCTGTGGTTCTTCCTTTTCGTCGTTCTCATCGTCCAAAACTCTAACAACGATGTCGTTCCCATCTTCATTCCCGAATAAACTGTCGCTTCCCTCATCCTCACTATCAGCGATCTCGCCGAAACTTCGTTTCCTGCTTCGTTCTGGCAGCCCAATTTCCAGAGGTAGTGGTGGCAGGTCTGGCTCAGATGGTCGTTCCGACATTTGGTTACCATCGACGATCATCGGACCGTGATAGTCGGTCGTGTCAGGGAGATTGACCTCCTGGAGTCCTCCTGTTGTGATGATAAATGCTGTGGGTGGGGTGTAGACTTCCTTCCGAGCAAGCTTCTGGACGTCGGCATACCTCAGCCCAGCGTCGAGCTGCTCCAGAACATCGGGCTCGACGTCCAGGTCATCGGGAGGGAAGTCACGATACAACATGATCCGGGTATGGACTGCGGACTCCCAAGCCTGGCTCGCTAGTGCTGGAGTCAGAACCCCGCGGTGCTCGCCCACTTTCAGATTCGTCGTCGTGCCGGTCAGAACGACGATGGCAAGATTTCTCAAAGCGGCGAGCTTGGACATGCTGGTAGCTAGACTCTCAATGACCTGGAATCGTTTGGCCGCTGCCTTTTTGGTGAGTTTCTCTTGCACCGTGACTGGAGCGGACGTCTTGATGTTAGCGGTTGCAGCGGCGTCTTTAGAGAACGAGCCGAGGATGAAATTGGAAAAATCGTCGATGACAATCAAGCATGTTTCATTCGTAGGGAGATCTGGCGTGGGATGCAAGAAGAGGGTCAACAAGCGAGGGAATGAAGATATTTCTAGGTAGTCGAATTTGTCCTCTAGTCGGGCTTCGTCTCCAATTCTTGTATCCTGTGGTGGAGAGGATGGAGGTTCGTCAAGTGAAGGCAACACGAGCGCGGCATTGATTTCCATGAGTCGTTGTTCGATCAATGGTGAACCAGTATTCACCCACAGGATGCGAGAATCATCACGACGCGAACGGATCGCATTGACGGCAAGCTGCAGTCCAAATGCGGTCTTGCCAACACCTGGTGGACCAAAGATCTCAGTGACATGACCTATCTGCAGACCAGCAGTGCCCAGCGGATTATTGCTGGGCTGTAGCGTCTCATCCAGGGAAGGAAGACTGGTCGGAATGCCTTTAGATTTGATCGACGCATTCTGTAGAGCATCGGCACCCGAGATGGTCGGCAATCGATGCTCAGAGGAAGTTGAGAAGTTATGTACGTCTGGTTCTTGGTCGTCCATGATGATCAGGCTTGGCTGTAGTCATGTTGAGCAGTTACTCTGTGCTTGAAAGCGTTTGATTTGGATGTCCGTCGATCGGGATTTTTTCCATGACCGAACGTGAAAACTCTGGTAAGCTTGAGCGTTCGATGTCTGCGCTTGTGAAGTCACGGAGGAAGTCAACCTCTTCCTTTGCATAGGCGCGATCGATATGACATTCGCATCGGGGACCTCAGTTTCAAGGAATGGGCAGAGCGTAAAGTTCCACCGTAGCGACGCGTCGCATTCAGGTTGGACGCGTCTGAAAATAAAGTGGCCTTCACGGTGAAGCATTTTGTCATGAATGGCAGCAACTTTTCTTCTTGAAATTGGCTGACTCATATCGGGATTTCACTATGAAGCACGTCAGTTATTTTGTTGTCAAATAACCTTCTGACTGAAAAGCGGAACAAATTCATAAGCATCACGCCCTTCCACCATCTGTGATTTAAAGGTCCAACGTTTCCTTCAGTCTCAAGTCTTCCAAATTTCATGGCAGCTCCAAAACTTGAGATTTGAAGATATTACCACGATGGACAACTTCATCACCTATCTTTTCCCTGCTATTGTGGCAGGTTTGATTTATCGGTTAATCATTCGGAGACCAAATTCTGAGCTATCCCTTAAGGGCTACCAAAAGCTGACGACCAATGGAGCCTCAAACATGCATGACGAGTATGACGTGAGATATACCAAATCAGCAAGTACACCAGACGATTCACAGACGAATAAATGGAAGGTGAAAGCACTTTTTATCCATCCCATCAAATCGTGCGCCCCGGTTGAACTCTCCTCTGCAGATGTTGATGCGGCAGGCTTCACGTGGGACCGGAAGTTTGCATTTGCAGAACTCTTGAAACCTCAGACACGTCTCGATGCATCAGAAGCCGAGAAGAAAGCCAAATGGACCTTCCGAACTCAGCGGACGCCAGGTCTCGAGAAGCTTGCAAATGTAAAATCGGAGATCTGGCTAGCTCCTAAAGGTCACAACCAAACTTCAACGGGTCTTGAGAGCGCAGGATTTCTGGTTGTCAAGTATCCTTATACTCCATCAGGCATCCTCGCTCCCGTGTTGCGGATTCTCCTTTCACTGGGCTTACTACCAGTAGAAACATCTTTCCGCGTTCCACTAAACCCCCCACAAGACCATCAATATCCCATAGAACAAGTCACCATCTGGCGAGATAGTCCAAACTGGCTGAACTATGGTGTTCATGTTCCAGTCAGCCTTAGCGCGTATTTGGGAGTTAGCAATCCCTTGACCCTGTTCAGGGTTGAACCAAAAAGCTATCGGGAGGTATACCGCTGCGCACCTCGCCGAGAGAATCTAGGATATCAACCGGTTGTGGGTTTCGCAGATGCATATCCTGTCCACCTACTAAACCTTTCATCGGTTCGTGATATTGGGGACAAAATCAAGACCGCGATTCCTCGCTTTTCAGCGAAACGATTCCGGTCAAACATTCTGGTTGTTGGACCCAATGCATATAACGAAGACGACTGGAAAAAGGTCAGGATTGGTGACCACGTTTTTTACTGTGCCTGCCACACAGTTAGATGCCGACTACCAAACGTCGACCCTGATACTGCTGAAAGACACCCCGTTGAACCTGACAAGATTCTAAAATCCTTTAGATGTATTGACGATGGAGATCCTCTCAATGCATGTCTTGGACTTCAACTAGTACCCGCTGAATCCCAGACTTTTCAACTGAAGATTGGGGACGAGATCGAGGTTTTGGAAAGAGGTCCCCACCACTATATCAAGCAATAACGAAGTGAAACTTATCTACGTCTCTGGTCATTGTCATTGGGCATCTTGCATCCATCCTGAGATTTGACAGTAATGCTAGGATCGATCTCAAACCAATGAGTCGGTGGCTGCCGTGCTGCAGCCATCAAATCCGAACAAGACCATTCCGTCGAGCCGTTTGCAGATGAAACCATCAAGCGTCTTGTAGAACACTGGATCCCCACCGAATCGAGCGGTCGCGTGAGCCTTCAGCCAAGAAATATTCCTTTGCTCGGCGGCTCGCTGTCGTTAAAGGGTTTAAAGCGGGGTTGTCAAGTCTGGACTCGACCATCCGTGCCAATACAAAACAGTTTGCTTATCTGAAGATTTTCAAAGGGCCACAAGATGTCAAGAGTGCAAGTCAACAACCTTAAAACTTTGCGTAATATTTACCGACGCATCCAATCACATTCGAGATGGTCGACTTGGTGAGGCTGCAGAGCGCAGACAAGATGCACTCTGATGTATTCACAATTCTGTCTTTGAGCTATTTGAATAGACTCATCATGGCACTCTGGAGCAATTGCCTTTCGTAAGATATCTCGTCGACATCATCGTGCAGATGCCTACGACAGAACCCCGCCAGAACTAGGTGAGCCAGGGGGAATGTCATATTCATCCGCTACGAAGCCCATGCTTCAATTGCCATGTATGGATCGATTTTGCTACGGCTTGAGAAAGTTAGGCAATGTTGAAGCTCTGAGTAGTTCGCCACTGCCAAAACAGATATCACAAACCATCGCTTTGGGAGCTTGATCAAGCCTGGGTCGCGCATGGTATTGTCCGTATCGAGCTGCAAAATGCTGATCCTTTCGCCTCTCATCTAGTATTCTTGATATCGGAAGATTAGCATAACGATCGTCTGTCGATAAGCGAAAGATTATCCTATTGACGTCGAACACTCTTGGTCTTGATTCTCAATAAGAACAGAGTCGCTCGCACTTTAATCTCAACAAGTTTTCTTCTCATCTGAAAAGTAGTAACGCACTACTATCCACATCGATACTTTGCATCATGGAGCCCGATAGAATTGGACCAGATACAACACCTAGACGACCGTTGAAAGACAGGATCGCTGGTGTACCACGCAATATCATTCGTAGCTTGACAACCAAGGAAGGCCTCATAGGAGACTACGACTATGCCTTCCTGTTCACGCCAAAATTGCCCTTCATGAAGAAGTCGCGGCAAACAGCACCATTCTTCGGCCTCAATGACAAGATGCCAATTTTCCTTGCATTGATATTGGGCTTCCAGCATGCTTTGGCGATGTTGGCTGGTCTGATCACTCCGCCCATTATCCTCTCAGGAAGTGGCGGTGCTGCCTTGGACACCGACACTGCCCAGTATCTCGTGTCAACATCGTTGATCGTCTGTGGGCTTTTATCGGCAGTGCAAATCACCAGATTCCACATCTACAAGACTTCATATTTCATCGGCACAGGCCTGATCTCCGTTGTTGGCACGTCATTTGCGACCATTCCTGTTGCTCTTGGAGGGCTGTCGCAGATGTATGAAAGCGGGTAAGTCGTGGTTCCAGTCACACCCTGTGAGAGCCAGATCATGTTAACAGGTGGTATATAGCTTCTGTCCAAGCCGGGAGGTCGACGGCGTACTGACCCGGTTACCATGCCCTCAAGGCTACGGTGCCATCATCGGGACTGCTTGCATATGCGCTCTCTTGGAAATAGGGCTTTCATTCGCACCAGCTAAAGTTCTTAAACGCGTGTTCCCACCCTTGGTCACTGGACCGACAGTTGTACTGATAGGTGTCAATCTCGTAAGTGCAAGGTCATCCCATCTCGACTTGCAGCACTAACCTTTCGATTGTACGATAATAATATTAACTCTAAGATCTTCTCAGATTGGTACAGGCTTTGAGAACTGGGCTGGTGGCTCTGGTACATGTAGATCCCGACCCGAAGAAGGTCTTTTCAGACTATGCCCTACCATTAACGCTCCTCATCCTCTTCCATGGGGCTCGGCTCAATTCATTGGTCTAGGCTTCAGTGTATTTGCCACCATTATCCTGTGCGAGAGATTCGGAAGTCCCATAATGTGAGTACGAATAATGAAGCACTGACTAGTGTCGTGCCAGACCTCTACTGACATATGACTCGACAGGAAATCTTGTGCCGTCGTGGTCGGGCTACTTGTTGGCTGTATCATCGCGGCTGCTACTGGTTACTTCGACGATGCTGGCATCACCAGAGCACCTGCTGCCTCTTTCATTTGGGTTAAGACTTTTCCCTTGTCACTCTATGGGTAAGTTTTGATCTTTGATCCATGTCCACTTCTAACAAAAACCTTCTAGGCCCATGGTATTACCGTTCCTGGCGGTATTCCTTGTCCTCATGATGGAAGCCATTGGCGACATAACAGCTAGCTGCGACGTTTCGCGCCTAGAAGTTGAAGGCCGCACATTCGAATCACGCATCCAGGGCGGTGTCTTAGCCGACGGCCTCAATGGCATGCTCGCCTGTCTGTGCACAATCACTCCCGTCTCGACATTCGCCCAGAATAACGGCGTCATTGCCCTTACTCGATGTGCGAATAGAAAAGCTGGATATTGCTGCTGCTTTTTTCTTGTGGTAATGGGTGTTTTCTCGAAATTCGCAGCCGCGCTGGTCGCAATCCCTTCCGCTGTTCTCGGTGGTATGACGACATTCCTCTTCTCGGCTGTCGCCATCTCAGGTATTCGCATTATCTCGACCGTACCATTCACGCGACGCAACAGATTCATTCTGACTGCGGCCATGAGCGTCGGCTTCGGTGCGACATTGGTACCCGATTGGTTTGCATATGTGTTCACCTACGAGGGCGACAATGGCGCATTGCGAGGGCTCATGAACGCCGTGGAGCTGGTGATGGAGACAGGTTTCGCAGTGACGGCGTTCCTCTCACTTTTTTTCAATCTGATTCTTCCAGAAGAGTTGGAGGACGAAGCCATGGAGATGACGGCGAATACTGTCGATGAGAGGGATGACGAGAAGGAATGGGAGCGCATTCGTCGGCCAAGTCAGATTAAAGCTATGCGGAAGAGCGAGGACATTAGGCAGAGCACAGATGTGGAAGCCTCGTCTATTGGGGGAAACAAGACGACGACTATCAGGGACGACTAGATGGACAAGGCTGAAAGCCCCTTGGCATGGTGAGCCAGCCGTGACCACACTTGCATGAATTGAACGGGGTATCTATGGTTGACGATGGTTACTTGCCCAGCTCTCTGCATCTACAAATCAAATCAGCAGTCTACGCTTGAAATTGGCCACCGAGTTTACAGTACAAGACTATACAATGCCAGATCACGGATCAATATCAACTATTCCCATCTCAGGAAAGACGCAGGAGATTGCAAGTCGGCACTCGTGTCCCTAGTCGATCCGTGGAGTCACACGCGTCTACAGATGAAGTGAAAGATTGGGTTCACCAGCCAATTTCCCAAAAAGACAATCCAAATAGGTAGTTTCCAAGTCAGGCTTTTCTAGTCATCCAATACCAAGAAATCTAGCGCGATATTTACATAAATCCCAAGTCAGCCTTGAGTTCTCCTGCAGTGATCGCCGAGTGCCAGCATGTTCCTGTGCTGCTGTGTTGTTCTTGGGAAAGATCGTCGAGAAGCACTCGCAAATCCATGCAGATTATGGGTTGTCCAATTTTGCCCCAACCGACATAACACCTCACAGAGCACGAATACGAGTTTGTAAATGCAAGGCGGCTTTCCCAGTGCCTCGTACGCTTTGTGTTTGGTGTACGTAGGCAATTTAGACGATCTGTAGATCATGGACCAGAAGTAGGACATGGAAACGGAAAATATTCAATACCACGAATCTTGTTTCTTCCAAGCATTTGAGGTTCGATTAGTCCTTGTGGTGCGGCTTGACGGATACCCACAAGGGTGCAAATCATGGTCATGTGCAGTCATGCTGCTCTGATCGATAGTCCCATTGGGAAGACTCATACTTACCTCAGGCAGGTAGCGATGAACTGGCACGGGGACATACTACAGGGCTGGAAGAGTCACGTTGTGCAAAAGAGTAAATACACCAAGGGGCAAGCATACGGGGTGAGATATGTGTATGCTAGCTCATCTTCATGTGGACAAGCGGGTCAAAGTGTATCACAGCGCCTTCACAACAATGACCTCGATCAGTTCAAGCCGTATACCTATACTCCGGGTGTCGATGTCCCAACTTCCACACTTGACCAGGATCGCAGAGCCTCCCCTCCCTTCCACCCCTGGCTCTGACACGATTCTCCCACCGCAAGTAAAGCGTAGTCACTATCGCGACGACAAGTAAAATACACGAGCCCCCAAAATTGATCCAATGTCCACGTGTATATCTTGGTGCGTCTCCAGGCAGATAGGTCCAGGTCGCGATCAGGCCGCCGACATTGGCTTCGCCTACCGCATAGGCGCTCACCACTGCTCGCACACTGGGGCCAGCCGAGTTACCTACCACCCATGCGAGGAGGATAGGCGAGCAGGTGAATGCTGCGGCTGTTGGGAGGAACAATGCGATGTAGCGGCCCGTGTTGGACTTCAAGACTGCCATGAGCAGGAAACCGAGTATCGTAAGTGGGGTAAGAACGATGACGATAAGCCCACGGGTGTGCAATCGATCGGAAAGGAAAGATGCACCTACACAGACAACTGCGGCCAGGACATATGGTGGGACTGTAAGTAGTTGAGCGTGAGTCGCGCTGTAACCCATAGACCGGAGGAGCGAAGGCTGGATCTTGATCAGTATTGGTACGCCCGAATGGAAATGAGGCTGGCTTACCATGAAAAGAGAAAGTGCAGTAAGTGAAAGGAGTGACATGATTAGCCCCAAGCTGACAAGCTGTGTGTTGAGGTTCCACAGAGCACTCTTCATAACATCCAGGCGCCAGGGAGACAAGTCCTCATCGCCAACGCCCATCTTGTTTTCGTCCGCGATGCGTTCAATGCCCACCCGTTTCTCCTCTTCGGTGAGAAATGTAGCGGTCGTGATGTCGGTCGGCATCAGCCAAAAGACAAGTCCGGCAAATATAGCTGTCATGAGGCCTTCAATCAAGAAAATCCACCGCCATCGCTCCATCATCCCAGCTTTCGGGATGTTACCCAGTCCACTACCTAGTAGGCCACCGAAAGCTCCGGCGCATGATGCGCCAGCAGCTTTGATGCCCCAGCGAGAAGCGAGCTCGTGACGGCGATAGAATTGTGAGTAAGCAAACATGAGGCCTGGTTGTACGCCCGATTCGAAAAGCCCAAGAAGCGCTCGGCACAGGAGAAGACCCCAATAGTTAGTCACAAAGGCGGTTGACATGGTTGTAATGCCAAAGCCAAAAGTAATGAAGCTGAGCCAGGCTCGAGGCCCAAAGCGCTTGCACATCATGTTCGCTGGAATCTCGAAGACGATGTAAGTGACGAAGAAGAGAGACAGTGCGATGTTGAAGCGATTGCCTGTTAGATCTGTGTCGCCCCTCAATCCTAACACAACTGCATTGCTCATATTGCTGCGATCGATCTGTGCCAAAAGGTATATCACGATGCCCAACGGCAGCACACGTCGATCGAACTTGTGTCGTAGCTTCTTCTCAACTTCAAGGCGCCTGGCTACTGAAGGGTCTGCTGAACCGAGTTCGACTTTTTCTAGACCCGGAGGAGGCTGCTCCACGTGGGAGACGTCCATAGTGGATGTACTCTTCGACATGAGTTCTGTTGACTGTGGTATTCAGATGCTGTTTTGTCAATAACTAGATTTCCTGAGAAGTTGACTGTAGATTGGGCATCGATGGACGAGCATGTGGGTGATAGGCTTTATATGTCTCATTGTGAAGCAGTCGACACTTGGAGAAGATCTGGATATGTTCTTTCGGGTAGTGAACCTCAAACCATCACCAGCATCGGCAGAGGCGCTCAACATCGATTCTTGAGCTCCTGATTATCTTACTGCTCCCTGCCTAACTACAGTTTGGGGAGAGATTTGTTCCTTCCCGAAGCCAAGTCGGGAGTTCCGAATATGCTGAATTCCTGATCTCGGGAATCCCGGACTAACACTCCCTGTAGTATGGAGAGGCCTGGAGGTCAAGCTTGCAATCCTGAGTGACAGGACGTTTCCTTGCGGTGGACGGGTGATCCGCGCTTCCAAGAACACCTAGTGGTGAAGAGATCTAAATATCCCTTCTCACCCACTTACATTCATTCGGTTGGCAACAGGCCAGTAACCAAATCAGCCAAAAGTCACAGAGATTTTGTCAAGATGATAAATTCTATGACTTCCACAGATGGCGGAGAAAAGCCGCAGAGCTACGATGTCGTGATCGTAGGAGGCGGATCCGCAGGTATAGCTGCGGCGGTTGGTGCAAGACAGGCGGACGCCAGTGCAAGGATACTGCTCGTAGAATCTGAGGGATGTCTCGGAGGAGCAGCAACTCATAGGGGAGTAGTATCCTTTTGTGGGCTATTCACAGTTGAAGAACGCCCTCGACAAGCAATCGGCGCAATCTGGAATGACATATATCTGCGCCTGCGGAAATTGGGTGGAACTGAGAAAGCGCCCAGTAGACATAGGGGAATCTTCCAGGTATGCTTGACGTTTCGCTTCCGGGGCTTTCTTCGTACTGACACACCATCAAGGTTTTCGAGCCAGAATCCTTGAAATTGGTCTTGGATGACATGATGTACGAGCACCAGATCGATGTGCTCCTCCACTCTACTGTCGTCGGTGCGGAAAGATTGGGATCAGTAATATCCTCGATTGAAATTCAGGAACGGATAGGCAGAAGGCGGATCCTGGCGAACGCTTTTGTTGACTGCTCTGGCGATGGCGATCTTGCGTTTTGGGCCAGTGCTTCCACACGCTATGGTAACCACGGTATCGTTAATCTGGGATCCTTGGCTACACGATTTGGTGGTTTCTCAGCAGAAGCAAAGCCGACGGCTGTGCTCTGGGGACAAGCGATTACACAGGCTAAAAAGAAATCACCAGAATTGCAAGATCTTTGTAAGAAGAACTCGTCGGTATTGCTCAAGATGCCCTCTGGCGACATTATGACATTCCTCGCATCTGCTTCATATGACGCACGATATTCTGCCTCCATAACGTCAGCAGAAGCCTCTGGGCGTAAACAAGCACAAAAGTACCTGGAAATCTTGAAAAAATTGCCAGGCCACGAGAACATGTATCTGGTATCGAGTGGTCCCAATTTCGGTACGAGAGAAAGTCGCCATATCAATGCCACTTACCAATTGAAGGAAGATGATATCATGAAGAACACCTCATTCGACGATACCATTGCTATTGGCGCCTGGGGAATGGAATTCCATCAAGAAAGTCACGAATTCTGGGAAAGTACATTTATATACCCACCAGCACGAAGTTTTGAGATCCCTTTACGCTGCCTGCAGAGCATAGATACAGACAACTTATACGTCGGTGGCAGATGCGTCGATGGTGACCAATATGCAGCCAGTGCGGTGAGAGTGATGGGCACAGGACTTGCGACCGGGCAAGCGGCAGGTACGGCGGCTAGTATGTACAGCCGCAGTCGTAGCAGAGCACAAGCTGGAAAGGTTCAAGCATGTCTTATTGCCAATGGCGCATTCATTGACAGTCGGTCGCTGCCGGTGGCAGTGTTCGTCTAGCATGAATGAAAACCCTTTCGACAAGATAAAATGAAAGGTGTGTGTTCAGGCAAAGGATTCAGAGGCTAGGAACCAAGACATGTCAAAAGGGTCTGACAGGTCAAAGTCTGGTGCCCAGTCGAAAGAAGTCCCTTGGACATCAAAAGTCCACGACTCATTTGCGCCGAAGTGGAGAGGTGGTGCAAGTTCGAAAGCGTCAGGATTTTCCGGCCCATGGTCATTAGCGTGGTGGTCATCGGCACCGTTATTGAGAGACTGGTGGCCATAGTCCTCATGGTGGACGTTATTCGGTAGCTTCCGGTGAAGCACTTCAAGAGCAGCTACACAACGTTGAGCGGAGACACTGTCTGCTTGAAACCCGCTCAGGATATCCAGAGCATGCCTCCAAGCCATTTGGACTTTTTCTTCCGAGACCTCTGTGAGGAGTGCTGCGGGCGCAAGTCGGGCAGCAAGCAGTACAGTTGCTGCGAGATATATGTGTAGTACTCCATAGAGCCAAGCAGGTTTCTGTCCCCACACCTCAGCAGTGGTGATGTTTGTAGACATGGTCTCGATCAGATCGATGGCTTCCTCGACACACAACATCGAACACTGCACTGCCACCCGATGTTCAAGGCTAGTGGTAGGTTCTTGGCGTTCACTCAGTACTTTCGAATTGGTAGCATGGTGAGTTGTGCATATTCGAGACAGGACTGGCCGAAAGAGATATATGCGAGCTTGCAAGTATCGGATCCTCAGCACAGCTGCCTGTCTGTGGAAGGTCCGTGCTGGACTATTGTGATTTGGCGAAGAAGCCTCAGGAAAATGTAGTTGCAGATAGGACGGAACCCCTTTGCACCACTTGCCCATTTCATTGTCCAATGCAAGAACCGAATCTTTCCCCACAAAATAAGACGAATAGCTATCTGTTGTGTCACTAGACCGCTCTGAGTAAAACGAAAGTAGGATGCGCTGAACGAACTCAAATAATTCGATGGAGAGCACGAAAAAAGAAATGACTGATCCGCTTGACAGTAGCGTTGGAAAATGGACATTCGTATCACTCTCCATACTGCCCGATTGAAAATTTTCCTCATCAACTTCCAAGGGGATTGGTACTGTTGTGGTTCCGGCAGCCGCCGGAACCATGGCTGGGCGGCCTAGAGTCGCACTGAGCATTCTGAACATGGTCAACGTGGTTGCCCTTGATAATGGATGGAGGACAAAGAGCAAACCTTTCCATCATGAGGCAACCATGCCATACTCTTTTTACCATCTCTCTATCTACAAAGCCAGGGATCGCATCGGTGCTCGATGACGTGGGAAGATGTAGACCTAGAGAATAACAGGTGCGAATCGCAAGACCCATGATGTCCCATGCTTTGTGGGTGCTCCCTACACTCTTCAGATATTGAGCCATGAGAAGGAGAATTTGAAGTTGTTGTAAGGATGGCGAAACATCACCTAGAGGATCATATCGATATGCCGCACGAGCTCGATCAAAGTATATTCTAGCTTGTGCAGAGCCGTGACGGAATTCGTGGTCACGGTCTGACTCAACGGTATATTGACAACCTAGTGAGAGGACCAAGTTGATAAGGCAAACGCTATCCTGGTATGATGTCTGCATTATTGGGCTTGTGGCAGAAGGCATCGTGGTTCCGGACCATAAACTAGAAAACATGGATTCCAGAGTAGGTCTGTAAAGAAAAGGGTAGATGGGATGAACGTACTTCCAATACGATAGCAAGAGGGCGTGTGCTTCCTGCCTCAGTGGGAGTAAGTGGGATAATGACGGTGGGCTTGTAAGTTGCATCATCGGGAGTGCATCGGGTCTCTGTGAGACAGGAGAACCTGCCACGTGCAGGGGAGCAACAGCACGACGAACCGTGTCCATAAGTGCAGCAGCTGCGGCAGGACCGACATAGCCTTCATTCTGGGGCTCTCCAGTTACAGCACCTTCGATGGCGCTGATGTTGTTCGGGCCAGGGCCTGTTTGGGTGGGAGAGTTTGCAGGCAGAGATGTGCGATGTGCAGGTGCGGATGACGAGAAGCTGCCGTCCCATGGTCTTGCTGCCGATGGCGCCGAGGAGTGTGCCCTCTCCAGTTCATGGATACGTCGCTCGAGGTCTCGCACGAGAGAGTTTGGGATTGTATCATCAGTGCCGTCGACATATTTCCAGGAGCATTGATCTGAGCCCCAGCCTTTTCTCGTACAGGGGCCACAGACAGGTCGTTGACCATCGCATTTTGTCTTTTTGTTTCTGCAGATCTCACAGGCTAGAAGTGTTTTGCGACGCTTAGGCTGTCGGGGATCAACCATGGTCGTCTAATCGAGAGGCGGCTAGAGTGTAGTCGAGATGACTTATGGCATTGTCAGGTACTCGTAAGAATGCCAGTAGATGGTCTCGGAACACCCGAGAATTACGAGTAGATTGCAGTTGCCAGATACTCTTGATAGTCCCAATGAGGAGCGGGCCACAGGTACCCCATCGGTGCCCGTGGTGCTCAAATAGAAGTGGATGAGTATACGTAACCGTACATGGCATCGGCCTAGGTAGCAGTCTGCCTTGTACTTACTCGAAGCTGGGTACGCGTACGGAATACATGATGCTATTGCCAAATGGATACAAATTTGTACGAGTCAGAGGCCAACGACGCCCGAGGTCGGGCAATTTAGGGGCGGCGCGTCATGAACTCTTTTGAGGGTTAGTCTAGACTTGGAAGTGCTTGATCACCAGTGGTGTCTGGTTAGTGGTTGATAGTTGTGTGATTAGAGGTAACTAGTGGTGGCTAGTGGTGACTAGGTGCGGCTAGCGGCAAACCACAATTCTCTTCTCTGGTTGCTCCTTCCTCGTTATTACTCGTTACCCCAAACACGTGCCTGCCCAAACGGGCCGACCAAGAAATGACCCTCCGAGATCTTCCTTATCGAATCCACGATCCATGATCCATCAGCTGTTTACCAGCTTTTCTCCGCTCTTGTGCCGTAACCTGTACGGAAGACGTACGGAGGACTGTACCTGCAGCCCAAGGTTGAGGTATCTCCTTGGGAATTACCTAACTGGTGCTGCCTTGAGTCGCAGTTGTATACGACCCCCACCAAACTGCAGTGCAGTCTCTCACCACTCACAACTTACCACTCGCTACTACTTCCAAGTCACAACATCTCCTTACCACCATCCACCGGTCAGAGAGTTCGACATTGTCCTCCTCTGTCCCCTTTCAACTATTGACCTTTCCCAGAGGCCCATTGTCACTTCCCAATGAAGATTGTCCAGACATGACTTACACCGCTGCCGCCTCTACACTGTCTTGCGGCGCCTACAAGGTCTCTTCATACTACCAATCGCCTGATCCCCGTCAGAGGTGCGACGCACACCCGTTCACACCAGTTCCAACTCTGCTATGATCTACTACCCGGTAGACGGACCATATTCAATTTCAATGCCACCGCCATCGCATCCCTCAACCAAGTGTCCGCTTTGAGAGCCTGCGCCCGGCCTGAACCTGGCCAAACACCATGGTGCTCTGCTTCGGTTCCGATGACACTGAACCACAGGACGAATACGACCATCTCCCCTTCGGCCTGAGGTGGCGCATGCATTTTGGAAAGAAAGAGACCGACCCAGAGACCGGCGAGTCATTCCTCCGCCTTGGGGGAAATAAGATCATCAAAACTCACTGCTTCAACACCGAGTATCAAGCCCTGATGTTGGTAGATCGACATACTTCTGTCCCATGCTGGAAGGTTCAGTCCGTCTTCAACAGACCGGAAGGAAAACTCGTCGAGTATGAAGCCTTTGTAGGAAAACCGTTGCATACCGTCTGGCCTGCCATGTCGGCCCATCAGAAGAACAAAATCATCGCAGACCTTGCTCGTTTTGTTGACCAGTTGAGGAAGATGCAACCCCCAAAACAATGCGTCGTTGGAGATGCCACCCTGGGCGCCGCCCTGGATCCTAGATTCGGTCACGGAAGAATAGGTCCCTTCTTCTCCATCCAAGCATTCCAAGAGTTTGAGAGGAGAGGCCATTCACCGCACCATTTTCCGGAAAAGGAAATTCATGTGGTTCACGCACCACAGAAACCCTATCAACTGAAGTTCACCCATTCCAATCTCTGCCCGAGAAACATCATCGTGGATGATGCAAGTCGAATATGTGCCTTGGTCGGCTGGGAGTCGGCAGGGTGGTATCCCGAATATTGGGAGTATACCCAGATGTGTCATAACACCCCCAAGACCATGGGCGATTGGTTAGATGCCATGTGTAATGTCATCCCCAGATATGACCAGGAACTCATTGCCGAAGAAGCTCTTCGTGCTCGATACGCCGCATCGATATATGACGTTCCAAGAAGCGTCCGGGCCCCAACACCGTCTCCCAGTGAAATGCACAACGAGCAGCAGGAAATTGACGACCTAAATACCGACAACACCAGTGGTTGATGATTAGCACCATTCCCACCGCCGGTATGCAACACTCCACCGCACTCGGAGTTACGAACAGCCACAACACACCATATTTCCCCTATTTGCACACGGCATAAATATATTATATACCTAATTTTTAAGTACGATTGTCTCTACATAGAACGGGTAACTCTTTACATAAATACTGGTTTTGATGTTCGACTATTCGCATTGCAAAGTGAGACTGCCTGTTGCCTCTTCCCTTTATTCTGGTTGAGTGAGAAATGTAGAGTATTGCGCAATCGTAATTACCGGTTTATATGACAACACATCAATCCACCTATCAGTCTCCCAGATAGCAACTTGAAGATGCATGATCACCACGTTCAGATTACCGAGATACCCTTTTTTAGGATTTGCCCCCTCTATTCAAGCGTCTTACAAGGGGTTACCAACCTGTATTTCATACAATGAAACGAAAGAGACACCAGCAAGCGCCAACATCTTTCCGCCGTTAGACTTTGCTTTTTGGTTGTTATATCGTGGCGCGATCTGACGAAAGCCTTCGGCCAGTACTCGAGCCTGCCCTGCCATCTGCATAGCCGTACACGACATCTCGCTCAACATTTCCCAAGACAACAATCGTCCCACCATCTCTCCTTTGTAGCCAAGGCATTTGTCCCCTATGATGAAGAGCCCCAAGAGCAACATCTCTACCAGCGTTCCCTCTGTCCATTCGTTCATCGAACAGCATTTCAACATTGGCCCGACCCTCTCTCCTACCAACAGCATCCCACGGCGTGACAGTGTAAACCCTCGCCATCTTTGCATATGTCCCCGCACAGGCGATACTGACATTCGCATCTCTCAACGCCACGTCCGCCAGCCGCGAGTTCTGCGCCAGCACCAACAACTCCGCGATCGACGCCCATGCACTGGACGATTCGCCGCTACGGAACAGCAGAGCCACGTGGCTGAGAGATACGACGATGTGCAGTGTCAGTAGTGCAATGGCTAGATAGTCCGTCAGCGACATCGCTTGGTACGAGAAGCCGCCGATTGTAATCTCCAGCTTCGCTTCCGTGGCGACCGGGTGCTGGCCATCCACTGTTGGGCGAACGAGGGCGTGCCCGCCACGGAACAGCTCGTTTTGAAAATCACGTGCGTGAACATAGTCTCGAATCGTCCAGGAGGACACGGGGCCCGTGGTGTTCAGGATATGTTCGCTTCCCGTCCGGGATAGGGCGTCCGTGACCACCAGCGCGAGTAGCCACTCCAGCGCGACGGTGCGGTTCACAGTACCTGGGGTCTCTCCGTTCCATTTCTCGATGGAGGCCTCTAGAGATCCCACGATATCAGAGAAGATGCTCGTATTGCCGAGGAAGGTGTGGAAGTTGGCGGCTGTCCAGCCTCCTTGTCTTGATGGTGTCACGGTTGAATTGTCTGGATTGAAGTTTGTGCTTACTGAGCTGAAAAGCCAGTCTCGACTTAATGTTATCCTGGTGGACGAGGGATTGGACTGGACAGGGCGAAATTCTGAATATGAAGTCTGGCCCAGGTTCGTGGAGGGACCTTTGAAGACCGGTCCCAGGCTGACGGGGGCATCGAACTTCAAGTCGAGATTGGAGGACGTCGCGTAGGATCTTAGGTCACTGGTGATGGTGCTGCCGTCCGCCCATCTCGCATCGACTGCACAACCAACGACTGCAATCGACTCATCATTTGGATCTGTGGGTAGCTCGACCACCAGTATCCCACTTGCAGTGCCGAGTTCGCGTTGTCCATCTTTCCAGAATGCGCGAAACTGGTGGAGTTCTGGATCGGCCAACCAGTCGTGCTGGACGAACCTAGTTGCCTTGGTGGATGGCGAGCAGTGCTCTGCGCCGAGTACCGGCATTTCCAATCGGCCAGACCTAGAGGATAGATGTTGTGCAGATGTACATGAGACTCGGACAGCCGGTACTCTAGAAGACGTTGTTGCCGTTATGCTTCGAAAGTACTTGTAATTCGACTCTGTGGGACGAAGCCACCTGGAATTCAGCCCAATCGCCATGACCTCAGTCACCCAGTCCTGCAAAAGCCGCTTGTGATACATGGCATCCACAATGCGTGTGCCAATCACGGCCGTCTCACACGCATATCCACGGAAACTTCCCGAGTACCGCAGGCCTCGCGTCATCTCCAGGTTGTTGGTGACATCAATTCCTCTTGGACCGAGGATCATGTTGGTGGTCAGATTGTGACGGCTTCCAGGGATATAGGCCGGTCGTCTGAAGACATCAACCAGATCTCTGGCATTCCATAACGAGAGATACCCTCCTGTGAGGCAGAGTCCATGCTCTAACTTTTCTTCGGAGCACAGCTCTCGCATCGTGTCCGTTGATGCATTGATCATGGTGGGCCACAGCTGATCAACGCTGGCAGGGAGGTAGTACGTTGAGCCACCAGCAATCCACGGCTGCTCTTCTGGGATCAAGAGAACGGCGGAAGCCGGCCCTGCAAGCGTTGCAAAGAGGCCTGCAAATAGCAGAACGATAAGAATGCGGATCTTCGAGGAAAAAGCGAATTCGGCGCCCCACGAGCCTATCAGCTCTGGTGACCAGAAATAGCTGAGCCCAGAGAACATAAAAGCTCCCATCAACATACCCAGTGGAAGCCCTTCCCCATGCACAAGCTCCTTGCGAATGAAATGTAACACGACCGTGGCAACACTCGCGACAATGAGGAGCTCGTGCATTTTCGCCGCGATCTGCAGCAGTGCGAGATTGATGGCCGGGTCAATGATTGAACCAGGAAGCGTCCGGCCCAGGTAGGATCCCGAGAGATTAAGGCTGATCAGGACTGTCGATATGCTTATGGGAAGTATATGCACCGCACATCTCGCGAGCATCGTCGTCCGAGAGCTTTGGTACACAGCCTTGGGTGTTTCGCTTGAGATCGTATCGAATCTGAGGAGCCATGAATGCGGTCTTCGAAGCCATGAAGGAAGCCGGGTAGACGATAAGAAACGTCGGATTCTGGCGGTGCTTGTCGTCATGGACGAGCGTGGCAGGATTTAACTCGATTGGTAGTCTATCTGGTAAGGTCTGATGAGCGCCACAGCAGATACGGCTCAGCTGTGCTTTAGGATGTGTTGCAGACACACGCCTGGCGTAGATGATATACAGTGTAGCCGTGACCAGAAGGGAAGTGTGCCATTTCATGGCAGGGAGCAGGCAGGAGACCACAGCCGCTGTCTAGGAGTAGGGGGCGGTGCAAGTGTCTGGGTAGCTTTCGCTGGCCTTGGTCGAGAGGGTCGGCCATGAGAACGGCGAAATACACGTCCGTCCTCGTAGTTGAGACTTGAACTTGGTCTGTCTAATTTTGTAAAGAGGTGCCTCACGTGCCTGACTCTCTGGTGTTAGAGAATACCAAGGTGCGAGGAGCAGACGTCCCTCGAGGTTTTTCAGGCACCAGACGTGGAGAATAACGAGGAAGGATAAATATCAGTCTCCGTAAACACACAACTTGAAATCGAAATCGAGCAATAAACTTACGAGTAGAGCGAGGACCATGGCTCAGCCCCATCATCAACCTGGCCGGTGCCTAGGGACGAAACAGAGAAACCTCTTGGCTCCCTCGAAGCGCTGCCAAAGCCTTGGTGTGTTTGCTAACTGGGCTGGTAGGCAGTTCAAGCCGGAAAGCAGATGGGTCAGCTAAAATGTTTAGGTGAATAATGTACCAGTTTGTGCCTGGTAGATGTCTGGAGGCTACTTTATTTTGATGGTACTAATCATTCTGATCCCTACCCATGGGTGGGTAGAACGCCGCTGCGTCTTGTAGTTGAATAAATCCATGGCCGAGGAGCCTGCGAGCACGAAAACCATCACAATCAAAGGGAAAACATGACTTCATACACGCAAGGCACAAGTTAAACCCAACTATGAGACTGGAAGAGAGTTCCCGAGTCCTCTCGACTCGACATTTTCGGGTACCCTGAACGCCGTCGCCATGCACTGTACAGAGAAACACAACGCGCCGACATAAATATTCTTACAACTCATGTCGTCTCTTGGAATCGGGCAAGACTCCGGTCCCAATCTTTAGAACCAACCCTGCCTATCATACACCTTTTATACGCTAATCAGCTTTTCCATTCGTTGTGCCCAAAAGACCTTCCTTCCCATCCAGTTGGAAGTAGCCGCTGCTGTTTCGACTGAGGCTTCGCTTGATGGTCGTGCCATTTCTGAGCACGGAGATGAGGGTGATGATGGCGGCCACCAGCAGCGCAAATGACAGGTACGGGTGATATGTGCCGAAGTTTCGGATCTGGAAGAACACATTTTCAAATGTCCCTATTGTCGATTTTGGCGTGAGCTTGGGTGGTGATGCAACAATTCTGCCCAAAGTTTCTAGTATCGACGTTCGAGATGGCACAATGAAAGCTCCAGAATCGGTTTGATCCCAATATCGGCGATTCTGCTCAAGTTAGTCATGATCACACCACATGGAGCCCACAATTGCTTACCTCCTCATCATTGATAATGACCCTTTCACCCTTTGAAACATCAATACCGTAAGTTGACCTCAACCAACGTTCCCAAAACACTCCATCGACCCAGGCAAAGCCAACTCCTTTGCGGAAGTTCTCTTCTGTGATGCTGATAACTCTGCTCTTCGCTTGACGTAGGGCACGTTGATCATTACGATCCTCGGCCTCTTCAATTCGCAATTGCTTGGAATCACGCATCTCTTGCCTTTCGAGCTGAAAAGCTTGCTTCTGTTTGTCCATCCATTCTAGAGCAGCATTCTTCAGCTCTCGCTTGGATTGTAGAAACTCGTCCGGACGTTCCCTGGATAGTACTCCCAGAACAACATATCTTCCAGCCATGATGTCCTTTGCGTTTGATGCTGTCAATTCAGGCACAATCGGTAACCACGTGGACTGCATCCAATTCAAAACCTTCCGGAAATCCCTCATATCTTTTGGAGCCAAAGCATTATAATAAGTGGGGCGGCCATCTCGAGAAACGAGCAGCCTTGGCCATGTGGAAATCTTGAAGCGGTTGGCGAGGATGAGAGAATCGGTTTTGACAATCTTTGCATGACCAATCAAGCTCAAAGTCAAGCGATCCAAAGCTGCAAAATCCTCAGACGTGGTGGCCTGGTCAAAGAAGTAGACAAAGATAACCTCCTCAGTCTCTTCCATTTCTTTGAATGTCGCAGCATCAACATACTTGACATCGCTATCCAAAGCCTTTTCACCAAATGTGAGGAGATCACCAAGACCTCGAAGGCCTTCATACTCGACACGTTCGCCGCCGCGGAAGAAGTAGATGGTGGGATAAGCTCCGACCTTGGCATCTTTACACAAGCGGGAGTTCTCTTCACAGTTGACTTCACCGATGTTTAATTTACCCTCCATCTCTTTGGCCATTTCGGCCCATGTGGGAGCAAGATGTTGACAATGGGAGCACCAAGGAACGTAGAACTTGATGAACCAGGAATCCTGAGAATTGGTGACGAGTTTCTGGAAGGTTTCGGCGGTCAAAGGGACGGAGAGGCCCTTGGGGTTGGGTGGAAGCCCGGGTTTCTTGTTCGAAGTTCTGCCACTCTTGGCTGTCTCTGAGGCCAACAGTGCTGAATTTGTTTCCGTGGATAGCTGTGCTGCTAATTGATTGTGCTTATCGCCCGCAGCAGCTCCGGCTGCAGGGTCCTTGTCCTTGGCCACACCGGTATGAGGGAGTGTCGTGCGATCTGCTGATTTTGCGCCCGCTTTGGGGACTTTGACACCCCCTCTTGGGCGGGAACCAGGCTTGATTTGTTCCAATTTTTCCTCGACATAGCTGCTGAAGGCTTCCATTGTCCTCTGGCCCGAATATTTCTCGACCATCTGGCCGTCCTTGTAAAGAACGAAAGATGGCCATGCCTGGATACCGTTCTTGACACAGACATCACCGTAGGCTATGCAGTTTAAGGACGCGAAGTGGAAGTTGTAGAACCCATGGAAACTGTTTGGGGAGGATAGATCTGGTTGACCTCCTTTCGTCATGCCTTCGAGAGGATCGGATGTCGCATAGAATTCGTAAAGGGTTTGCCAATGAGGCGCAATCGCTTGACAATGGCCACAATAGGGCGAATAATGTTTTACCCACCTGTATCAAGTCAGCAGGTGTGGTTCACAATCGGAGGTGGGAGTTTACCAGTAGCCCTGCTTTATAGTATCGGCAAAGTGTGCGCCTTCTATTTCTTTCATTGGGGGCACTTTAATGTCGTTGAAAATGGTAGGCTGTACAGCATCTTCACCATCCGCTGGTGTGTCTCCTGATACAGCATCTTTGGCCAGGTCCGACCCTTTCCTCTGATTAGGCGGTGCAGCGAAAGCGGATGTTAATGCGGCTGTAAGAGCCCATGCCAGCAGGAGCGGTCGCATTGTGAAGATTATTGAGGCGTTTATCGAGAGGAGCAGTAAGGCAGGTGATGTTGGGAGAGGAACTCGAAGTCGTAGGATGTTCGCCAAGGAAATATTAGGGAGAAGGCCAATCCTTTGTCAGAATTGTCGAGAGTTGGCGCAGTTTTAAGACGAGAGAAGAGGGTATGAAGCGAGTGTGCAAATGGGAAGATTAATGCGACATGGCCACCGAAGGCAGAAACTGGAAGCAATTGATTGTAAAGAGGCTCAATAAAAGCACATGTCGACGTCCGGCTGGGTTGCGAATGAGAAATGGATGGGAACGAGGTGGCCAGACTCGACGGTGCAGTTCAGGGTGATTGAGGGTGAGGCCTGGGGCGAGCTGAGAACATGGCAGGTTATCCGAGTACGGTGAATATTTCTCCCGTATAGTGCACAAGCTACGTCGACACATGCAGATTGCTGAGTGCAGCTCTTATCTTGCCAAGTCCTATGACGCAAGAATGGGGCAATCCGGCAAGTCCAGTGCAGTTCGATTTCATGCCCAGCAGGAAGCGGTTGTTGCATGCGCCTCTTTCACCCACGGGCACTGCAAGCCTCCACCTTCCAGCCTCTACCATTCCACCTCTCCTCTCATTCCTCCTCTCAATCCACTGCATATCAACCACTGACAGTCCACCACACCATCTACGCCAGGTTTATATCCTCACAGCTGCTGCTGCTACTCCTCTGTGCAGCTTACGAGCTCGCAAAAATGAGGGTCAATAACCTCCTCTTCTCACTTCTCACCGCTACCGCTGTCTCCTCCAGGTCTCTCTTCAGTGGCAACCAACATGCTCTTGTCGATGAGCCCCAGCATAGCGTTCCTGGCAAGAACCCTCTAAATGTGAGAATGCGCCCTACTTCTCAGTTTCCTGATAGCTGACAGTTCCAGTTCTGTGCCGATCCTAAAGACTACATTCTCACCGTCGATTATGTCGACCTGACACCCAACCCACCCGTTCCGTATGTATTTCTCTTCGCTTGACTGCTTTGCAGACCGATTGACAACTAGCAGGGGCGAGACTCTAACAATCGTCGGCAATGGAACATTCTCAAAGGACATCGAGCCCGGTGCCACTGTTTTCCTTCAAGTCAAATATGGCCTGATCACCCTCATCAAGCAAGAGGCAGATCTTTGCGACAATCTGGGCAAGATCGATCTGTCCTGCCCCCTGAAGGAAGGTGTGTTTACGATCAAGAAAGAGGTTGACATTCCCAAACAAGTGGTAAGTCGGCCATTCAAGATAACACCGCCCTGGCTTTGAACTAACGGATTGCTAGCCGCCGGGAAAATACACCGTCCTGGCCGATGTAAATACTGTCGACAAAGAGAAGATCACCTGCATGGAGAGCACAGTATTTTTCAGCAGATAGTGAATGCCTGTGGTGCTAGAGAACGAATCATCAAGGTGAACACGGCAACAGACTGAGGCTGGTGCAATGGATTTATTCATGTCTTGTTCTGATTCTTACATGCGCGGCGCTAACGTGGAACTTGTACTCTTGGGTAGCGATTCCCTACATATCCTGATATTCCTTTAACATAAGCGTACTATCTGAGTACAAATCATCGAATCTTCTTTTACTGGTTGACTGTTGCTTTCCCATGGTTCGCATGCCCATTCACAACGTGGGTTCCCTGTGTCTCAACCACCACGTGTACCGGACTTCAGACCACGGCTATTCAAAGGGAGAGAAACGCACGAGTAACGGTGGCTATTGGCCACAAGCAGGTCGAACAGTCGGTATTGTCCATTCAGTCGACCGCCGTTATAAGAACATCTCGACAATAACTTCGTCGATGAGGATGCTGCGATGAGGATGCCGTCGACAAGAGTGCCATCGGTGAGGACTGTGAGGTTTTAGTCGGTGTGGACGCTCGGTATACCGACGAGGAGGATATCGCCGACGAGGAGGATATCGCCAACGAGAACGTCGTTGATAGCGAGGCTTCGTCTCACCCGCTCGCTCGCTCGCTCGCTCTCTCCCTCTCTCTCTCTCTCGCACGCCTGTTCTCCCCTCCCTCCACGTTCTCTCCCACCACTTCTTTTATTCATGAGATATCTGCCCCCAGGATTTGACGTCTGAAACTAGTATGAGACTATAAGTACTCCGTACAAAAAACTCTTCATCGCCATGGCCGAGAGATTGATGGCGAGGTCGACCCTCTTTGGGCTCACAAGTTTCTACCAGCGACGTCACATGCAAACACTGGCCGATAGTGAGGCCTTCTGGGTGGAGATCAGATTATTCAGGGGATCAGAGCGTAGCTCTGCATCTTAGGCCATTTTTCCTTTCCTAGAAGTATGTCTATCGCTATAAGGTCAGTCATGGACCTCACCTTTATGAAACACATAGGGTCTACTTACTGGAGAGACGATCTGTTCTCACTGGTAAGGACAACGTTGAACGATGTCAGTGTGTTTCGCCCCACGTGATACAGCTGCAATCCTGTCTGAAGAATGCGGGAGAAAGTTTCTGACGAGTGGTTGAGCTCACTGGTACGTCTGCCATTATGATGACCGCCGCCATTGCCGCCATTCTAACTGTCATCAAATAACAACTAACCAGTGCCCTAGAAGCGATATAACAAGGTGACCGAGAATTGGGATCCTGAATCGAGCACAAGGATTGAACCCAGCGAGAATGTCAAATGAAATTGCCTTCAGACTGGCCGCTTTCCAAACCCCTGTCTAGACACATCATACTCGAAATCTTGCCAAACGAGTGGCGGCCGAATCTCACTCAAATTGATGCTGGCCATGAAACTAGCCCACGAGACTGGCAGTGTACCATCGCAAGCTTTGTGAGCTACCCAATCAGAACAATTGAGACGTCTGTTTACCCCAAAGCTGGATGACACACGCATACAAGATCCTGTCTCAATTACATACATGCTTTCTTCAAGCGGGCAATCCGGTAGGTCTTTTGCGCTACTAATGGCCAAGCAAAGATGCTGATTTCTCCAAGATCAATGGATTCATATTTTTCTGTGCATGCTGCATGTGCTGCCCTAGATTCAAGTTCTGCGAAGGTGAAAAATCTTCAAGTGCATGTTAGATCAGTCATGTGGAATGCATCACTTCTACAGCAAGGTATTGTGTTCTACCAAGTACCAAGGTGACTTGCGACCTGATGGGGCGTTTCAAGAGAGTCTGGAAGCTTTGTGAAGTGTGGAAAGCATTGAGAAAAGCGGACTCAGGAGACTGTGTGATTGCAGGGCAGAAAAGAAGACAGCGGCGAAATTGTATTCCTAAATAAATGAGTGGAGGGCCACTGCATACGCAGGTAAGTGCCAGAGGCACGAGTGCCAAGCAATGGTCAGAGCTGGTACTATCACAACTGCATACATTCTCGTGATTCGTGATTCATGATTCATAAACACACCACAACTTCCCTACTGATATTCCAGCACATATGACTTTGAGCATACCCGACCTCTACCAAAAAGGTCGAGTTCTCAACCCCTTTCAAAATGACACCAGCCAAGGAAAAGATCGATCTCAAATTGACAGTGACGGCCAAGGAAAAGATCAACTTTGGAATGAAAGTGATGGTTCAGGAAAACGTCAAATTTGAAATGATAGTAACAACCAAAGAAAAAGATCAACTTCAGAAAAATGGTATTGACCAAAGGGAGGATGAACTCCAGAGCAATGGTCGTTGGCGAACAATGACTGAAGTCACTGCATGCTGTCGATGGCGCAGTCAGTTCACATGCATTTGACTGTCAGGCGGCTGATTGTAGCAATCCTCGCGGCTTGGGTCGCCCCAAATAGCTGTTCAGCTTCCTTTGGGCCGAGCTTTCGGGCAGCTTCCGCCGCATTTCTCAGCAAAGCTGCTCTCCCAGGAGCTCCACGGCCGAGCCGCGCAAACTGAAACATGGATTCGAAGATTGTTTGCAGCAACAGCTCTGGGTTGTTGACGATCTGTACTACAGTGACTGCTGTGCCACCAAGTCCTCCTATGATGCTTGCCAGCCTCGCAAGAACAGAGACCCCGGTAAGCGCCGCAGTTGCTTGCCCCAAGAAGGGGAGGAGCGTCAAGACGCCTAGCAGTATTTGGAGAATCAGCTCCTCCTTTTTCCTTCTCTCGTCAGCAGCAATCGCTGCAGCCACATCCTTGACAACTTCCATGGAGTTCTTTGTTCGCTCCAGCCCTGCAACAACGCATTTGTATGCATCGATGAGCTCGTCAATGTTGCCCACATATGTGCCATGGTCAATGTCGACAATGGCATCTTTCAGGCTTTCAAGATTCACCACTAGAGATGGTAGTTGCTGGTCTACCCAGGACTTGGGATTCATGACCACATAATCTGATCTCAGCATTGGCCAGTTGCGCATTTTGTACACATGTGGACAACAAGCCAGGTCGCCATTAGGTTCATGGCATGTGGTGCAGGCTTCTTGTTGATGCTCACCGAAGATCAGGTCAGATTCGTTCAAACCAAAATTTTGTTCGAGCGATTTGTAGAATTCTGCTTCTTTGTTGTCGTCTTTAAACTCTAGCCATTCTGGAATTCCGTGAATCGCCGTTTCCGCTTTGCCCACTCCTTCTGCAAGGCAATAGGGTTGTGGCTGATCCGACTGCTCGTAAAAGCAGTTGAAGTATTGTGAGGAATTGTCCCAGACGTAGGATTGCAGCATTCGGGGCAAATTCTTTTCCATATAATGTTTGTAAGTTTCAAAATTGTCGTCATACTCACGACCAAGAGCGCCTTGGAAAGCTTCCAGCGCAGCGGCGTAGTTGCTTGTCAGGACTGGGAGCAAAAGTTCGTTGTAACAGTGAGTCGGGACGGTGCCTAGCAGGGCTTCAAGGTCTTCGAGCGTGTTCACACTGCTGTTGCACGTCCAAGGCAAAAGAGTTTGACAATGAGCGAGACCGATGTTGATCATGACCAGAAACAATAGGATGAAACTGGGCTGCTTAGTGTGTTCCATTGTGACTTGAGGCCTGAGTGTCAAGTTGAGAAAGTTCAAATCGAGTGACTGGGGGGGACCAAAGGATGCATGTTTGTGATTTCAAAGAAAGAGAGATAGGGCATTTCCAAGGAGATGACTGTAGAAAGCATGGGAGCAAGTTCATTGAGTTATGTAGGCAAATGGGAAGGGTGGGCAGTGGGATGGGTAATGTTGTAGCCATGTTAGCTGATCGCACTCTAGTCTCAGCTGCAAGTATCACGGAGTAGGCGAGTAACTACAGGATCGCCTCACACGACTGCCTGAAATCGATGTAATTGTAAAAATATCCAACTACAGAAATGGTCATCCCGTAGGGCCGTCGAAAAGGTCGCCACTGTGGTGTAATTCTGAGCTCTCCCGTGCTTCCCACCATGAAAGTTGATGGTGTTGAAAGCCTTGCTGAGGTCAACGCACAGATGGGATGGAATACTGATGATTGCCGCTCGTGGGCGAAGTCCGCACGACTGCTAGTCCAGTGAGGAGTGTGGTACTATACTGTGGTGTCTTGTGCTGTACATTCCTTGGTCTTGTGATGTACATTCCTTGGTCTTGTGAACAGTTTCACATAGATCACTGGGTTTCTACCAAAACAATCGGACCTCTCCGTCAATAATTGATGTAGCCGGCGAGACTGCTCGAATGGCAGCTACCTTGCACAGATGATGAGGCCACCGCCAGGTTTTAGGTATACGCTATAGTTCATTTGGAATAATGAAACTGGCTCTTCACAGTATATCAACTTTGGACCTCTTTGTTTGTTATCTAGAAGATACATATTACCACGCGTCACCTCAAGAGCCGTAGTACCAAAAATAATGGAACCACCTTAACGTAAATCGCGCTCATATGATTTGAGAGTGGAATTTGATAACGAAATGCTTGTGGAAATCCATCTGTCCTGCCGCAAAGACCGGTTACGCAGCCACAAACTGGTCTGCTGGAAGTGATGAATGTTCAAAGTGATCTTCTTTCGTTTTACCATACGGCAAGCTCGTCTTTTAGATTGGGCAACTTGGTCCTTGAGTTGGAGTCTGAATTGGTTCATGCAGGGCGAGTGGTTGGACCTACTCTGCAACATGGTTTGGCTAATCGTAGTATGTTGAGGGTCTTCCACTCTGAGATGACTTGAGCAGAGAATCATATATTTAATAAGACGCCCCGGGCTTCATCAAGTTCTGGTATATTGATAGCGCACGCCAACTTCGACGACGGTGAGATCATTGAGTTTGTCTACATTTTAGTTTGACACCGTAGATATTGATTGACCTCTAGTCTTGCCTCCTCAGTGCCGTCCCATTCAAAATGAAGTTGCTCTCAATTTTTTTGTTTCTGTGCTCAATTGCACGAGTCTGTGCGTTTGCACAAACAGGAGCCTACGAGCGCATGTTTGTGTTCTATTGTCTTCTGTTGGACCTGGAAGCCAATGGAGTGAACAAAAAAATTGTTCCAGACTGCCCAGATTGCTCAAATTTCAACAAATTCCTGCAGTATATCGAGCAAGGCAAGGTTCAAGGCGATGCACCGGATATTACGCGGGAGACCAGACCAGAAGTCGACGACACCGCGCGGATGCTCATCAACAAAGGGCATACAGGCGAATACCGTTCGACCTTGATCCACAACAGCGTGAAAGCAGACCGTGACATCGCATTGATGATAGACGAACTGTCACGGTTCGTGGAGGGGACCATTGACAGACTTCCACGCGAAAAAGACTGGATTTTTGAGGGACTGCATAAGTCCATCCAGAGAGTCAAGGAACATCGTCTCCTGGGAAGGGCCGATGCATACGAGAAGAAGGTCCGCCAGGCTCTGGAGGGCCTCAAGGACGATGAGGACAAGCCTCTCAAGGACAACAAAGGCAACACTCTCAAGGTGGAAACTCAAAAGGTCACATACAGTCTGCAACCGAATCCACCCCAAGGCCACCAAAGCGACTACCTGAGATTCAGCCCCGCCGCCACCCTCAGGTCTATCCAAGGTACAGTATCTGAGGAAATTTATCAACGCATCAGCAACGAGATCAAATCCGCCTGCGTAGCCGCAAGCGATGACAGCCACAACCGGAACATCGAATCGGCCAAGAAATGTTCCTCAGCATTCTGTGCGCTCAAACAACTGCGAAACTTTAGTTGAAAGAAAAAAGTCATCTGAAGGTGTGGCGAAGATGGTGGATGGGACTGGTGGGTGATACTGGTAGTGGAATCTTGTTTGCTACTTCAAGTTTTGCTTGTGTGACCGCTTACTAGGTTAGGCATAAGATCAAGCCCCTAGTAACTAGATGTCGAGGATGATGCTGTCGATCCAGGTAGCTGATGTGGCAGGCTTGGGAGCCCCGGAGCTTTTGGTCCTCTCATTTTCACTGTCTTTTTCTGGCTTTCGGTATGATTTCAGGGTATAGTGGTCTTGACCACTATTTAGTCTTTAAGCAAGGGTTGAGTCTGGCATAGGTTTGGACTGCTGGAGGTTTTGTGTGCACGAAGGTAGATAGTCGTTTAATCTTCCTTTGGGATTCTTGCTTTTGGCTGTTCGAGTTGGCGCTTCGACACAACAGAACATAACCAAGTAAATGCCCTTCGTTCCCTTGAACTGCTCTCTGTGTGAGCCATGGCTGCTTGTTTGACATGATTAGGTCCATGTAGGTTCCTCAGCGCTGCTACGCCAGAGGGTGCTACCTTTACCCAGGCCGGAACACAGGCATTGCTTGTGTTTTGTTCTCATGTCGAGTCCTGTCTGACACATGACACATCGGTAGTTGTGACGGTGTAACTCAACCCGCCATGGAATGCGTCGTTTTAGGCCAGGGTTCCGGACAGCAATATCTTGGCCTGTCAGCGTGAGCGGTCTTGAAGGTGTGAGGACCTTACTCACTCCTTCAGGTTGTACAACACAGCGGGACGCGGGTAACGGGGTTGGTGTGCCGCTACCTGTGAGTCGAGGATCAACTGCTAGTCAGGATTATAACTCGACTATTCAGTGGATGGAGAGAAAGCTGGGGAAGAGTAATCTAGAACCACGGTAACCACGATAACCACTGTGAAATGTGTATCTCTATTTGTGCATTTCCTCTTTTGAGCCAGCTAGATCTCGTCGTCTCCGTCGAATGGACTCTTAGATTTCAGCAACAGTGCATGACCTGTCCTCCAAACTGACGTCTTGCTAGCTACTCAACCATCATTACCACTATTACACCACCCACCACCTAGTGTAGAAGAGATTCAGGGATGACTGACCGCCTAGAGTAACCTCAATCCGCCATATCTACTCTAGCTAGGAGGGCGGAAACGGTGGGTGGCCACTGGCCACCGTGGGGTTACCAGGCAAGGCAGCAAGGCAAAGCATCGAACCATACCTACTCGTAGGTATCTAGGTACCTGCTCAAAATGGTGATTATCATTGGGTCACCAAGTAGGGATGGTGGAGCACTGCCTGGCCCGGGCGGGCCTCAGGCTGACTAACCGTGGGCCACGGTGGAGCCACACTTGTTGTGTCTCGGTGCCAAGCCGCCTAGTTAGCTGCCTAACTACCTACGGTACTTACTCGTAGGTACCCAGGTAAGTAACTTCAGACCCAAGTTAGAGGTACAGGGGCGTTAGGCCCTCTAACTAGTCACCTCTCGCTGCCTACACGCAATACACTTCTATTTCTTTAATCCCTACTAGGTACTCTCTCTAAATGCAAACGCAACCTTGATTGAACCTTGAGCTTTCAAGCCGAACGTGCTCGGGCTTGCCAGGAAAGTCTTGGCAATTCCTGAGGTCCTCTTCCTGCAGTGCAGTCCGAGTTTCAGTCACCCTCGTTTGATTCTTCATCATTACACCGTGACCTCTGTTCTCTCTCTGTTCGCTGTTCTCTGTTCTCTCTTCTCAGACCCAAACCTCGGAAATCATGGAGGACTCCATGGACGACTTCACCGACGACTTCTTCCACCCCACCGTGAACAATTTCAGTGCAGCTGCTTGCACTGCAACGATGCGTGGTGAGTCCATTCCAGAGGACTTGACAGTCACCACCCATCAATTTGCTACCGTAAGAGGAATATTGCACCATCCTGGGTTTGGCCGGGTTTTGCATGGTACTGCCCCTCTGTTCACTCGAGCTTTGAATGCTCGCAGCATCATGAGCAATCTTGTCCCCACCATGAACGATCCTGACGAATTTCCCTACTGCATTTGGTACCCTGACACAGCAACCCAGCACACCTATCGCGAGTTGGCATCACGATATCCTTCTATGAACTACCAAATCGGTCGAGCATGCGCAGTTGCTGGCTACTACAATTTGTACTTGGAGCTCAACTTGCTCCCCGATGTCCACATTGCTGAGGAAGCCCGTGAGAATGGACATCTGGATATCTTCCACCACATCATGCAAGCCCCGACCCTGTACGATGTCATGAATGACTATAACCGCACCATCAACTCGACCAGTCCCAAATATCCCGCTTTCCTCAATGGCGACACCGCCGTCACCTCGTGGCTCACGACTCACAAACAACAGTGTCAGGCACCCACCTTTTTCCTCGGTCAAGTGCAAGATCACCATGAACAAATGTCATTCAACATCACCGAAGACATGAACCTCGATGAACACATACCTGACCTAGGTCCAATGCCACCTGAGATGAATCAGCTTTTGTGCATGCCACTACCACCACATCTGCCCAGTGTCCGCAAGGATCTGTTGATCATCATGGCTGCCCATAACGGTGATATCGATCGCTACTCTCGCCTCCGTCGCCCGACCATGCTCCACTCGGAAATAAATTACGTTGTACACGGCATCTACCACAGCACACAATTCGCAAAGTGGTGGTCTCAACAAGGCAATTGCCCCAACCTTTCACCATTTGCGCGTTGCCGAGTCCAAAGCGCTATTCATGCTCGCTTTATTATGAACAACGACCTGTCGTCAATCAACACGAGTGGCTGTCAATCCAACCTGCCTGATCTCATCTATTATCCGCAAGTTGCAGCTGAAGCCACTTACCGCGAGCTATTCAACAGACAGCCTCAAATGAGAAAGTCGATTGCACGTGCCTGCATCGTCGGAAATTACCAGGCACTCTATGATGAAGTGAACATTGAGCCAGATTATGGCCTCATGGCTGAAGCAACAAATAGCGGGAACTCATACTACCTGAACGATCTACAACGTAAGACTGAACAGGGGGCTGAAATGGGCACCCGCGCAAATTTGCCACACTGGAAACATCTCGCTCATTCACAGCTGTCCAAAAAGAAAATCATTTCCCCGACAGGAAACTTGAATGAATACATCTACCGCCAGGGCTTCGACTCCTTCTACGACGGACTTGATGCCAACACTGACCACATCGAATACCTCATCGGTCGCCTTGGTGATCCGAGCACAAATGATAGCAGCAGTCCAGTAGTTCAAGAGCTTCCCTACCATGTTGCGAATGAAATCAATCGCTCACCGAAGAGAAAGAGGGAGTTGAGCAGCGAGAGTGGCAGTGGCAGTGGCAAGTCTGACTCTCCTGAGTACTATTATCGACCTTCGGGTTTCGGTGAAAGCAAATAGACGACAGCACATGAAAGTTTGCTCACATTGACAATCAGCCAGCGAAGCAATGGCAAGTATGTACTAGATAGTGAATGACAATCAAGAGTTCATCAACCAATCCCTACCTCTCACTTCGGACTATCTCCACAGACCTTGTGAAAATCTCCGTACTTAGACGAGCCATTAGCTATGATTTCCACGAATTTCTCCATCGAGCAGCTTGCTCCCGGTCCGTCCTGGCACCACGGGATAGGTCTCGGAGCCGTGTTGGCGATGACTCTGATGTAGTCTCCCTTCCTGCCCGGCCGATCGTCACAAGTCATCTTCTCCATGCCGACGTGGCCAAGAAAAGGGATGAGGTCGCTCATCCGCCACGCTCGGACCCAGTTGATATGGTCGGTCGGGAACTCCTCGACCGCCAGTGACGACGAGTTGAAGATTCCCAGGGCCGTCGCCACGAAAGGGGGGACTTCTCGGTGCGTGAAGCTGAGGAAGAAACGCTGTCCTTCTGGCCACCCTGTACCCGTGTTCGTCGCGCCGGATTCGGAATCAATCTGCTGGAAAAGAGTGCTCTGGGCCTGCAGCCATGGAAATCCGAGATACGGTGACAGCGGGTTCATCGGCCCCACCATGTGCGCATATCTGAGGTCCCAGGCGTATTCGTAGGACATCCACTCGGCGTCGGTGAAGACTTTGCATAGAGGGCTGCGTTGGCCTCGGATCGCTGACTCGTAGCCACAGAGACCCTGAAGACCGACAATATCATTGTCACTAAGTTCAAACGGTGTGAATGGGGCGAGTCGTGTGGAGACGTGCTGGGCATAATGATGGACGAATTTGGCCATTTCTTCTTTCCCGGGTTCTTTGTTGAAGGCTGGACATGACTTGTGCGGCACCAAGGCATCCATACTGCCATTCGTGTCGTGCAGGATACGAACAACCTCGACGTCTTGGCCGTGGGGGAAAGCTTTGACCAAGGCCTGGGCGGTGTCATATGTTCGTGCCTTTTTATCGGCCAGTATTCTTTTGACCGTTGGAGCTAGTTCGGGATAGCGTTTGCGGAGATGATCTCCGACTTTCGCAGCATCCTCGGCACCAGCAGGTGTAATATCCTCGAGCCGATCTTCCAGGATTGGGGAATGCCATTGCTCCATAAAATCCAAGGGGCCAGACCAGCCTTGACGATGTTGTTCCAGCTTCCAAAGAAATGGCCTGATATATGTTTGATACTCATCATCATTTCCATAGATTGATGCGTGGCGAATGATGTAGGATGCAGCTGTCACCTTGCATCCCACGGGTGCGGTATGTTCAAGACCAAAGCCTACAGCATCGAAATATGGTGAAATACCGGGGAGATGCAGTAGGGGATCGAATTCATAGCCTTGAGAGTGGTCTTGAGGCTGGAGTGGTACCTGAAACTGGGAAGCTGGGTATGCCGACACCGAAAAGGTGTATGATGCCACCAGCAGCGCTGAAAGGGAAAGCATCATCTCTTACAACACCACAGCCAATGGATTCAGCCTTGTTTTACAACACCAGAGGTTTCTTGATGGCCACGGAGGATATGTAGGAGCAGTTTTTTACTCGAAAACCAGCACAAGTCGAGGAAGTCAAGCTTGGAAGAAATCGAACTGGGAAGTTACCTGTCAGATCAACCATGACGTCGTTGAGTTTGCAAGGAACGATGAAGTTGTTCCTGGCGCTAGTAGTTAGTGTCCGCCGCTAGGAGCCACACGACTACGAAGCTAACCCTTTGGCGACTTAGTGCGAGGCTGGCTGTCCTCAGAATGTCTAGCGCCCCCGTCCACGATGAACGACCGCCCGGGGTACCGCGGACTATCTAGATAAGCCATCCATCTACCAGTCCGAACACAGCTTTGGCAAGAAGGGGAACTACACGTCTTGAGCGATCGTGAAAAACGATGTATCATACTGTTGCATACTGCTCTTTGTTATGTTCCTTTTCGCTTTAGATTTGATTGGAACTCGAAGTCAATAGCCGAATTCCGCTCGCGTCGGGTTTGCCTTGCATTTTCGGCCGATATTGATCCGACACTGTCAAATTCATCGGGCTAATAACTAATACTTAATATGGGGAGATTCGTGGGAGGTACTTGATCATTCCAACATGCTGTCAAGATAATCTCAGGGCTGTCAGTATTCAGGAGCATAGATTGAAACCTCAAGCCTTCTCTACTATCTTTTGTCTAGAGTACTACAGCCATCAAAATGCCAGGATATCAAAGCCAAGGACCTGTCGATTGCACCATCACCGTTGACAGCAGCAAAGTAAAGGGGAAAACTGCAATCGTGACAGGGGGTGCAAATGGAATTGGCGAAGCATACACGCGCGCCCTAGCCGCCGCAGGAGTATACATAACGATTGGTGATCTCGACGAAAGCAGCACAGAGAAATTGACTTCCGAATTCCCCAAGCAAATTCACTTTGTCAAATGCAATGTGACGAACTGGGACGACCAGACTCGACTGTTTCGCGAAGCAGAGTCGTTCTCGCCAACGCACCAGATTCATTATGTGGTCGCGAACGCGGGTATCATCCGCAAGGACGAGGTGTTTGAGTTCGGGGAGCCAACCGAGCCAGAACTGAGTACCATTGATGTGAATATCAAGGGGACCCTTTACACGGTGAAACTCGCCATGCACTATTTCATCAAGCAAAACGGAATCGTGCCTGGGCCAGAGCAGCACGATACCTGCCTCGTGCTTATTGGCTCGGGTGCTGGGATTCATGACTGTCTACGTATTCCTCAATATTCGGCCACAAAATGGGCAGCCCGAGGTATCATGCATTCACTTAGACGAACCAGCCACTTTTACGGAAGCAGGGTCAACGTCATTCATCCATGGTATGTCAAGACCAAGATCCTGTCGGAAGAGGTGTTTGAGGAGGTCAAGGCGAAAGGTGTCGAGTTTGCAACAGTGGAGGATGCGGGACAGTGTTTACTGCGGATCTTGAGTGACGAGAGCATAAATGGAAGATCTTTGTTCATTGCGGCGAGAAAATGGGCCAGCACGGGGTATATGGATCTCGATTTGGAGGATACAGAGGAGAACGAGTTAAGGAAGGAAATCCAATTCGATCAGATGAGGGGAAATCCAGTGGAAGATGGACTCATTGTGTGACTTTCGGCATTTAGTTTTCGTGAACAATTTGATTTTTGAGAACGAGCATCCATTGTGTCGCTTGCTACAATAGAAATCAGAATGCGAGACCAGCGGTATTGGCATTGATGTCGAATAGTTGTACAAATGCGTAAATATCGCCCAATCTGAAAGGTATCGACAGCAAGCACTACCTTCTGACAATAACAAATCGAGGACGAAACCAAGACATTGCTGCTAGATTACCATCACGTAAAAAGGTCGTCCCAAGAATAATCACTCTCATCGAAGCGAAGATCGAGCTTGGACATCATATCCATGTGTTCAAGCCACGAACTGGTGGAAACCCGTGCATTGGTAATGTCTTCGAACAGGTCTCTTCCCATCAGGGGATCTTGCTCGACACCAGCGTTCGAATGCCTACCGATTGGTGTGATAGAACCATCCGTCCCTGCTATCCCTGGCCCTGAGCCCATCGACAAATTCTGCATGTCGCCTGGCACGCTCGAAGTGGTATACATGGGTGAGATATCGTTAGTCCAAGACCGTCGAAACTTCTTTAGGCATTTCGTCAACGCCTTTTCCCCATGTCGTGCGATTGAATTTCTGACCTTGAGTATCTTCAACCTCTCGATAGCTCGCTCGAGTGTCTGGTCGATCTTGCTTCTCATCTGGGACTCCTGGGTGTGGTATTTTATGGCTGCAGTTGCGAGGAATATTCCGGAGTCGATTGTGTGAAACACAATAGTGTGGATCTTATATTGATGAGGTTCGGTCAATTTGAACAACTCCTCGGTGGCTTCTAGTGATCCGATTGCAGCTTCTGTTGCTCGCTGTCGACTTGTTTCGTGCCTCGCTGCGTGTGGCCGATGTAATGCTAACAGGAATGAATGCACGACGATTGCGTTTTGGGGGCGTGCCTTGATCAAACTAGGATACCTTGCATCCCATGACAAATCAGGAGTGTCGAATTTCATTGCCGGCGGCAGGTTATCCAGGAAGTCTAAAACACCAGAATGTAGTGATTCAATGATCTCATAGTTTTGTAGAAGTGGTTGAGTGGCGCCAATGGACATCATACGATGTATAGTCTGGCTGATCTTGTACTTCACCAATTGAGTGGTATACAATGATGGACGCTCATCCAGGCTCGGTAGTCGGAATAGTGTCCTGGATGGGTTTCGAGGAAAGTCGCAGTCTATAGGATCTACCACGGTACAGTCACTCACATGAATCAACCGTGGACGCCCAAGTTGGAGACTCATGTGGCTTTCCCACGTCAGGATGGTGGCCCAAAGCCTTCGTTTGTGCTCATTGAACCACAACTGCTTAAGTGTCTCTGCACTAACATCGTTCTCGTAGCGTGATGTTTGGCCAGATTCAAGATGAAGTCCGATCTCTTGAGCCTGTCTTGTGGCGTTGCTCAGGCTGTACCATGATTCTCCACCTCTCCCATCGTTCTTTTGCCAAGCGCAGCACATGATGTCCGCCTGGACGCTGGTAACATTAGGAGCACGCCGTCCACAAAGACGCATGATCTTTTCGCCCTGTCCACTCAGGTGACTCGACATCGCATCGATATTCTGTGGATCTTTACCACTTAACTTGAGCTTATTGCTTTGATTTGGGGGTAGAAACTGTAAAGCCAATGCAAGAACTTGGAATAACAAGGCGGGAAAGTATAAAACGGATGGCGACAACTTTTGCAAATCCGATGGATTTCGTGGGATTGTGCTCCATTCAACAAAACTCATGTCGAAATAGTATTGATCCAACACAGCAAAGTACCAGTTGACCTCGTCAAAGAAGACTTGAACCAACAGTTGGACCAACGGCATGCCTGGCAAGGTGTCAACAAGAGCCCAGTATTCACCCTCAAGACTCTTAGACAAACAAGGTGCTTGGGCCGCGGGAGCTTGTAACTCTCTCTGAGCATGGTGAAGAAGCTCGCCCAAGGCTGATAGAGCATGATCACCCTTATGGGCATATCCTAGACGGAGAAGTTCCTGTTCCGAATACTCCTCGCCTTCCTCTTCAATTACCGAGGATTCCTCAACTGTTGGACTGAACGAATCTGGTCGAGAGGCATGTGCATGAGGGATCCTCCCTGGTCTCGCGGTAGGAGTTCCGGGCCTTGATTCATTTTCATATACGCAATGGCTCTCGGCTCCTCTGACGGCACATGCTCGGCATGGCTTGCTTCGATCGCATTTTTGCTTCCTCCTGGTACACTCTGAGCAAGCTCTAGTGGGACGATTTCGTTTTGAGTACGTCCTTTTGGCTGGATTTAACATTGCTGTTCATGTAGAATCTGCAAGTGAGGTTGCTCTGAAATTGATGTCTGCCAGTCTCACATTTAGCCAGCTTCCATTGCCAAGACTCTCGTCATGGGAGAAAATTGGCCCGACAGTTCGGCCGATGTCGGGTTTTGCAATTCGAAGGAGGAGCCAAAGTGGGAGAACATCAGGATCTGATGGGCTTTGAGACATGCAACGCAACTGGTGTAAAGTTCAGTCTGGCCTGTAGGTTGTACTTTGGAAGTAAGAGGGTGCTGGATAGGTACAGTACACGAAGTTTGCTGCCTACCTCATCCACATATTTATGCGTCCCGAAACCTCTCCTGAGATGGCATGGGTCAACTTAATAACATAGAACAAGCCTTCACGACTATATCGAGTACCGACAATGCCCGACAATCAAACGCTCACTATCAACTTTAGAACGATATCTGGGTTCTACCATGATTCGAAGCATCGCCACTGCAGATGTACTAACATCCGTGTAAAAAGCAGCATTAAGAAGAGGCACGTGAAATTCGGCTCATGGGCGCTGGGTACCTCTTAGATAGACGCTGGCCGGACATATCTACCATGTTACTCAACATGTGGATAACATTCCTCACATTATCGAAGTCGATGCGTCTCAATTCAGGCTGGGCATTACCCAGGATGGCTCAACACGACTGCAATAATGCTCGGTCGATGCTCCCAATCAAGGTATTGGTGGGCCCAAAGGGTCTTTTTGCGAAGGGTAGACTGATCTCCAGGGCATCGCCATGCTGCCACGTGCGGGCAGCATGAACTAGCCGGGATCCGGTGGCATCGGCGACTCAACTTTTTCAAGATGGCGTTTCCCCTTCGGTAATCCTCTGAGCGCATTTGGTTGTCGTTCTCCTCAAGAAACTCAGCGACGGAACATCGAGGCCAAGACCACTGACGATATCTCTTAATTCTGGTTCACTCAGCCGACGAAATCCTAAAGCCACTTCGGTTGGGGACGGGGAAGTGGCACGGCAGCCTGCTAGGATTTTAATCGAGTTGAGAGGTGAATTCAAGATTTCTCCGGTGTGGTTTGATTGATCCCGTGTCTCCGAGATCTTGTGATGGGCAAGAGAATGTGACTCGAGTGCTTGGAACTGCTAATCACTCAGACGCGTTCAAGCATTTCTGCTTATAACGGTAGACACACCCACTTTTAGGCTATGCCCCGGAGATTCTTAAAGCGCTTATTGGTGATGGTCACTCGAGCATCCACCGGAGCTCCGTCGGAAGAGCACCGGATGTCACTCGATTTTGTCCATCTTACCAACCTCCGTGTCCTCGACATTCCACTGGCTCATTTGCAGCTTCTTGGACTATTCAGTCGCCTCGAATTAGGCGGGCTGATTGGGCATTTTCATTTGTTCTACTCTTCCAGAAACCCTTGATCATTCAATCCCCAGGTCTCGGCAGTTAAATGCTCCCGCTTTAATGCGGATTACTGCGGGGTTTGCTGCTATTTTATGGAGATGCTGCCTTGATTATTGGTGTCATACGCCTTTTCATACCCCTGTATGACATGCTTTGAACAGACGGCGACTCTTAGTTCGCTGCATGACCGGAACCTGGACGATGATGTTGCTCCGACATATATTAGGACATGGGTTCGCTTCCCTTGCGTTGGGAACTGTTCCTGTTGTCCTTCACTTCCTCCACTCTCTCTTTTTCCACTGCGACTGATCGAGAATCGTCAACATGGCTCAAAAGATCGAAGAAAAACAGCAATTCGAATATGGTGCTGATGACAAGCACACCGAGGCTCAATTGACTCCAGATGTTGAAAGCAAGAACTCGAAAGAGCTCAAAAGCGGTGATGGTGGCCTCTCGAATGATGATGTTGTCCTCCAATATGATAAGCACGAGGCTCGACGCATTCTGCGCAAGATCGATTACCGACTTATTCCACTACTCGGACTTCTCTATCTGTACAGTAGCACGTATTCTCCTTCAGGAATGCCGCTAATTACCTCAGACTTGCCTACCTCGATCGAAGCAATATCGGCAATGCCCGCATCGCCGGAATGTACGAAGACCTTGAGCTGTACGGCCTAAGATACAACACTGCTTTGACAGTGTTCTTCGTCCCGTACGCCCTTTTTGAAGTCCCTAGCAATATCGTTCTGAAGATGATTCGACCATCAATTTGGATCTCGATTTTGTGCTTCTCCTGGGGTCTGGTGATGACCTTGATGGGCCTTGTGACCTCATATGAAGGATTGATTGCTGCCCGTATCTTTCTCGGTGTGACCGAAGCAGGCTTCTTTCCTGCCGCAACATACCTTCTCACGATCTGGTACCAGAGATATGAGGTTCAAAGTCGTATGGCAATCTTCTACGCCGCCGCTTCGCTTTCAGGGGCATTTTCTGGACTTCTTGCTTTCGCGATTGAGAAGATGGACGGAATCGCTGGCCTCGCTGGATGGAAATGGATCTTCATATTAGAGGGCCTCGCACCCGTTGCAGTCTCGTTCTCACTCTATTTCCTCCTCCCTGACAGTCCTGAGACCGCCAAATTCCTCACCAAGGAGGAACGAGAGTTTGTGGTCAATCGAATCGCACTTCAAACAGGAACAGGCCACGGCCGTGTCACCAACTCGGACAAGATCACTATGGCTCAAATCAAGTCAGCTTTCGGTGATTGGAGAATCTGGATGGCCATCCTTCCGTTCTGGGCCTGCAGCATCGGTACCTATGGTTTTACTGCAACGGTACCTGTTGTGGTGAAGCAACTTGGATACACCTCTTCCCATGCGCAGTTGATGACGATTCCTATCTATGTCGTGGCCATGGTTTCCACCGTGATTGTTGCTTTCTGGGCCGATCATGTGCAACAGAGAACCCCATTCATCATTGGTGGGTTTTCAATCGGCGTCATTGGATTCATTGCCGAGCTGGCAATTCCTCATCCAAAGTATCCCGGTGTCACGTACTTCTTCCTGTTTTTGGTTGCAACCGGACTCTATTGCCCGTTCACCTGCATCGTCACGCTTATTGCCAACAACCTTGCACCATCCTCGAAGCGTGCAGTTGGTATGGCCCTCCTCATCAGTGTGGGCAACATGGGAGGAATCTGTGGTAGCAACATCTATCTGGCAAAGCAGGCACCAAAATATCCAGTCGGATTTGGCGTTGGCCTCACTACCTGTGTTCTGGGTATAATCGCCGCCTTTGTTCTACGCAGAGAATACAGCCGCCAGAACCAGTTGCGAGACGCTCTGATTGCTCAAGAAGGAGCTGAGACTCTCAAGGCAAGGTATACTGATCAAGAGTTGCTAGATTTGGGTGACAGGAGCCCATTTTTCCGTTATACTCTTTGATCTGAGATTAAGCCAGGTATCAATCAATTCGAAGTTTGTGGCATGAGGAATGGAAAGTATGAGACGAGTTAAATGGAGGTGAAATGGTTGTGGAAAGGGCAGGATATCATATTCAATCCAAGCATAATATCCATCTTCGATACAAAATTTGGACAAGCTGATCCAACAATTTGTACCCTTAATACATAGCTGAAACTTTAATTTCATGTCGGCAAGGCCTTTGGAGAGCCTCCTCCTCAACGTTCAAGAATCTTGAGACAGTACACACTAATTGGGGTTTTGATCGACCTCGACGAAGCCTCGTTTGGCCCAGACAGCATCTAAATCGCGGCGATATCGTATGATATGGCCGAAATTCGTGACATCCCACCTGCTCTGCAGATCTTTCCGAACAAGATCAATTTCTCTGCTGTGACTTACAAAAAACCCAAGAGTGTAGACTGCCATGGTCGTAGTGAAAAAGCGGGACCAGGTTTCGTCATGCTGATACGTCCGAAGTATTGACATGGCATAACGCTTTCTCCAGCAGTCTTGATCACGTGTCGAAGGACAAGTATCATTGGCGTCACCTACTAAGATTTGTTCCATGAGGATGGATGCAACGATGATGAACAGAGTGGAAGAGTCTTGGACGATCCGAGTATTTGGGGGTCCAACTGTAATTTCTCCTTTTGGAGGAAATCGGGAATCAAGCGACTGCCCAATGAGATGGGCTTCCCACTGGGAGATTTCAAGCTTCAAGTCTCTCAATTTGGCCTGGTCGGCGAGTTCTCGCTGTGGTCTTATCTGTCTGACGAGGAGGAGAAGTTTCAACAAAGCCACGGGGACACCCAGAACTGGAGCGTTGATGCCCGCTTTTACAGTTAAAGGTTTGCTCTCTTGTGCCAGCAAGCGTTCAGCGGCTAGCCAGAAGGCAAGGTCGAATGTACCATTGGTGTTGAACTCTTCGGACCATAGACCCATGCTTGTCAAAAACATCGAGAGCAGCACACTTTCCAAAACAAGTCGATCAAATGGCGAGCTGATAGCAGCCGGGATGTTGAAGTGGCGTAGAGCTACAATCTTCACGGCTGCGTTGATATGGCGTGGTGTATCCTTGTGAGTCTCTTGGCCAGTAGACTGTAGGACACGGCAACACGCGTGAAATCAGTAAGAGGAAAGTAGTGCAGCGATAGCGGGTCAGATAATGACTTACTCCGAGAGTGTACAGTAGGATAACCGAGAGTAGCAATCCATTGTGATTTTCCAAACGCGGATTTGTATCCAGAAGCTCTTGCATACTTCGCAAGGCTTGAGAATAGTAGGTAAGCGCTAGCTCTTGCATTCGCGCCGATTTGATGATTGAGTGAATGTGGGAGGCCGCATTTGCCAGGATAGTATACTGCAGGCTACGGCAGCCGGGCAGGACGTGCTCCAGTTCATTAAACATACTCCAGTAGAACTCGGACGAGCAGTTGGGTAGTAGAATTAGATTGTAGTACTTGTCGGCAAAATGCTTGGAAACGATGGGCTTGATATGCTGGGAGGCCGCCCGCTGAGCAATTGATGCCGAGGTCAAACAAAGTTGTGTATCGTCCAGGTATTGCTGCTTTTCCAAGATTTCTTTGGAGGTAGCAATGTGCTTAGAATCGATTTCCAACTTCTGGGCGGTCATACATCGGCGGTCGACCAAATCTTCAGAGGTTGGCCATTCGCAATTCCAGCCGAGTACAGCACAACGTCGACATATTGGGCGGCCTTCGTCGCACTTCTTTTTGCGCCTCCTACCTGAATGCTAGCATTTAGCCATCAGAACAGAGTCACCAAAGCAGAACTCACAGGTCTGGCAACCCGTCTTGACCCGCAATCGCGGTATTGGACTGCTTTTTGGCATAGCGGCTTAAATTTTGAGCAGACTTGCTCCTGATTTCCTATTGGCAAACAAGGAGTGGAATATCATGCGATTAGAGGACAACCTAGGACTTCGTAACGAGCTTTGAAACAGCTCCACGGATTCCAAACTTCTAAAATGGATAATCCGTTCCTTACCAACTCCATTTATTCATGATGGAGATGAGCTGCCAACCGCTGTTGACTGGGCCAGAGGTTGAGGAATATATTTGGAGTCCTCATTAATCAGCCCGGAGTCAACTGTCTTGGTAACCGAGGTAGCTAGGCTAATCTCCTCAAGCGCGCTCGCGGTCACCGTCGAGGCGAATTTGGAGGATGCTCGAGGTGCCGCATCGCAATGTTTTCAACCCCTGATAGTGCACAGGATCTCTGCTAATCATCTACACCATAATCACAGAATTACTGACCAAAGACCTACCCGGCCTTGTAGAGACTAACATTTGTTGCTTCGCAACCTCAACTGCCAGGCTCGATTTCTTTAGACGAGCTACAATAGTGACGATCTACTTGTGTGGCATGAATAGATTTTCTACATTCAAGTGTGGATTGCTCACACATGTCTGTGAGCCCCGAAAACGAAATTGAACATAAATAGTCAGTCCGATCTAAACAAAAATGCAACTTCCCCAAAGTCACCTGGGAGTAAGTTCGGGAGGGAACCACCAGTGAATGACCAGCTCTGGAATTGCCCCTAGTATTGCCTCAGGGGCTGGCCACTGGGTGGCCAATATTGTGAGTTCACGATTCGCGACTCGATCCTGTTGCAACGGAGCATCCCTCTCTAGTGCTTGTGAGAAGCCTCCACCAGCGCAAAGTATTTCTGGGCGCTGCGAACGCGGAAGCCTTTGCCCCATTTGATCATGATAAGGAAGACACTGCTAGCAGCAAGGCCAATGAAGGCAGCGGAGATGAAACAGTTTTGCAAACCCATGTTGGTGATCCAGGGAGTTATACTGTCATATGATTAGCACAAGGGGTGTCCGAAGAGAACCGAGATCTAGAACATACCCATAACTGATGGCGAAGGACATGGTATTTCGAACCAAGATCACTGTCACGATAGCATCGCCGCTAATATCGTGATAGCTGTCGATGAGATAGTTGACACTAAGAGTAACGCCAAAGACCGAACCGCAGGCTAACATGCCCATGGCGAAGATGAGTCCGAACCAGTGGACGCCATGAGCTGCACCCACTCCCCAGAGTATCAGAGAACATGGGACAAGTACCAAACATACAGCGAACGGCCAAAGGCGAAACTCTGCCTCCATTATACCACCATTGCGCCGTGATAGCTTCAGGGTCAACCAATCGCTTAGAGGACCTGTGAGCACTGCACCGACGATGACGCCGATACAGCAAGATAAATAACTGAGGCCAACCATTGAAGATGAAAAATTGTAGGGTGGCGCGCTGAGGATGACTGAAGCAGTTCCGTTCAGGACGTTGAACCAGATGAGATAGGATCCATAGGAGAAGCCAGAATAAAAGATCACTGGCCAACCGAGGTACTTAAGGCTGTCGATGGCTCGCTGAAGCATGCCCTTTCCAGGTGTTGGGTGCCAGACGGCCAACTTCTGTACGAATGACTTGGGAGGACCATATGTTTCATCGGAGCTGTCACTGCCGATAGTCTTAGTAACAGTCGCAGTCTTCTCTTCGTCGGTCTGTAGGCTTGTTTCAGGTGAAGTTGCATCGAGCGTCGCAACAATTCCACTAGTCTTCCGCACATAGTTCGTCTCCTCCATACAAAAAAACAGGAAGATCAATAACAGGCCCAAAGCCATGGCAGGATAGTAGAACACCCACTGCCAACCCTGTTTCTCTGCAATAAAGCCTGTAGTCGGGAGTTAGACTTATCTGAATCATTTATTGACCGTGCCACACTCACCACAAAGAACAGGAGCGAAATAGTTACTTCCAGCGAGTGTGAAGGCATAATAGCCCATATATCGCCCTCGTTGATGAGTGAAGTACTGTCGCAGCACCGTTAATGAAGCCTTCGGAAGGGATATATCGAGTCACATACCACGTCCGTTACCGATACTTCCGGGAGCGATTCGATGGGAGCGAGGAAGAAACCCTGGACAACGCTGCGTGCGAGCCATTCACCATTGCTTTTGACATATGCACTGCCTGAAGTCAATACACTTGTTGCAAAAGGCAGCTGTTGGGAGACAAATACCTCCAGATGCAAGTACCCTTGAGGAAAGTCAGCTTGTGGTCGTGAAAGGCCCGCCCAAGGCATGAGAGAATTCGTGGATCAGGAACGCTACGGCAAATCCTGTCTCCCGCTGTGCTCAATGATCAAAGGGGAGAGTATTGGCTGAAAGGTGCAATTGGGGAATCCACGAATTCTGACATCCGCTGGGAGAGGGCCAAGGTTCAAAAACTTACAATTCCACCGATAATAGAAACAAGATACGTCAATCGTTTACCATATCTCATGGCAAATGGATTCCAAAAGAGGAGACCCCAGCCAAGGAGCAGGAACATATAGCCACCACCTTCGACCAATGTGGCGATGGACACACCATTGCTCAAGGAGAGGGGGACGAGTACAGAGTAGACTGTTGAACCTGACATTCCGACGAAGAAGGTGTACCTGGAGACTGGTGAGCTAGTGGTCAGCCGAGTGGGAAGGCTACTTACAGATTGATGCAGATTGTAGACATCATCTTCCGGCGAGGGCTCCAATTGAGTGGATCATTGGGGTCGGCGGAAGGGGTGGGATCCAGGACAACGTCTTTTTGTCCACCGGATGCATGCTGCGTCTGCATGCTATGATCCAGGTCGACCAGGTGAACGGTACCGGGGACGGCCCCCTCTGGGTGGCCGCCATTGGCAAGTGGTGTAGCCATCGTGAGACCAGAACTGTTGCAGAAGCAGAACTTCGGGGTTTGCAGATCAAAGAGGTGATGGGAGCGTATGCAGCTGAAGATTGGCGAGGGAAGAGATACTTATACTTCCCTCTAGACACCTAGCGAAACGCGGCATCCACGGATTGTTTCCTGGAAGAGCCTTTTGTGACTCGGTGTTGGTCCGTAATTGACACTTTGGGTGAAAGCAGCGGGAGTGAAGGATGATAACGATAAAGCAGGTGTTGTTGGGGTTTATGATAGTGTACGTGGCAGTCCAGATCGTCTGCCGCCTTTTGGGAGATAACATTTGCCATGGCGGAAGGGATGGAGCCACAAGTTTGAAGGCTAAGGTTGCGGTAAACCGCCTGAATGGCCCAAAGACCCAGACCTGAAGCTTTCTCCAGGTACTGACGGGTACAGTAGACAAAGCTAATTGCTCCCCGAGGTCTTGGAGAGAAGAACATATGACTGATGGAGGAAATCCACCATCAACGGACACGGATATCAGCACAAGCTGGTCTTTTTGACGTGTAAACATGGAGTTCGACGATATCGAAGCTTATTTGGCTGGTTTAGCACAAGGCTACTTATCACAGGATGGACACCACCCCCTCTTCGCTTGTAGCCTATGGAGTTTGAGTTTTGCGCAAATCGGTTTGATTGGCAGCCCAAGTCGAGATCGCGGGAATGGTTCAGGCTAGGCTGCATCGCCCTCTATCGCCATCTCGTGGCATTCGTGACCGGCATGTATGTCCACCTCCCGCGATTCTACTGCTCTCGATCAAAGGTGCCAGTCTTGAGTCGTTCAGCATTTCTCGAGATCTGCGTCAGCAATCAGTGGCCGGGAACTTTCCGGGGGCTCTGTAGATAAGAAACAACTCAGAGAAAAGAATACTGTAGCACTCATCTTTCTGCAGTGTATCCGCCAAGTGGTCCGTCGCTTGCTCGTCCTTTCATTCCACGTTCCGTCTATCAGTTGAGAAGGGCCCATGGCTAATGGATCAGATAAAGGGCTTGGTATCCCTCGGTTCTGCGGGGGGTGGCCAAGAGGGAGAAATTATATCAGCAGCCGGAGCAGGCAAAGAAATAACAAGAGTTCAGGCATCTGCGAACCCCTGTCCGCCCAAACTTTAGGTGATGGAAGTTAACTAGCCAGAGCTTCGCGGAAATGCGGCTGATTGGGCTGATTGTGGACGCTCGCAGTACCCCAGAGTCTCGACTTCAAACAACCGAACATGAAAACTTCTCGAGTTCTTTTCCATTCCAATCCATCATGATTCACCTAAACAGTCACGGTCCGCGAGCCGTCCGTGATTACACGCAATAATGTGACAGTATGTGTAAAAAAGACCGAAGACGGTGATAAGTGACAGAATTGAAATGATCGACGATCCATTTGGGGACACCGTGAGCGTGCTCCCTGTGCGAATTCCTGTGCTTGATGTAAAATACTATAAAAACTTCGATAGTCCATCGCTACCCTTTCAGATTGATGATACTCTGAAGCGCTCTTTCCAAGCACCCCTGGCGGAAATCTATCAAAATGGGTTCAAGATCCCTTCCCATCATTGTTGCAAAGCCTATGATACAAGGCACAGCTGAGTATGAAGCCAACCGTCTGCCACTCTTTGCCGCCATTTCCTCCAACATCCCTGAGGAATGGTATCTTCCACAGGAGCTCTTCGACAACCCTCCAAAGAATGTGTCCAACATACCCAGCACTTGTGGTCTCCTGAGTGCGGAGGAACTTGAGATCACAGAGAAGCACGATGCCACTAGTCTCGCCGAGGCTATTGCTGCACGCCAGTACTCGGCCGTCACGGTCATCAAGGCGTTTATCAAGCGCGCTGCCATTGCACACCAGCTCGTCCGTTGTCTTACCCAATTCTTCCCCAAGGACGCCTTGGAGCAAGCTACAAAGCTCGACGAGCATTTGACCACTACTGGGAAGACCGTGGGTCCACTACACGGCGTGCCTGTGAGCATCAAAGAGCACATGGCAATCGCCGGACAGAGTTCTTCCTTTGGAGAACTGAGTACAACCTTCTCCGATGACAAGGATTGCCTGATGGTCGCCATTCTGCGCAAAGCTGGTGCAGTCTTCTACTGCAAGACGAACCAGCCACAGGCAATCATGCACATGGATTGCAGCTCGCATTTTGGACGAACTCTCAATCCGTACAATATCTATTTGACCTGTGGCGGATCGTCCGGTGGCGAAGGCGCCCTGATCGGGATGAAAGGCTCAGTCCTGGGCGTGGGTAGTGACATTGGCGGTTCTATTCGAGCGCCTGCTGCATATTGTGGAATATACGGCTACAAGCCAACCTCCAACATGCTTCCCATGCAGGGTATGCTGAGGGGAGCTATGCCTGCCGAGTTGAATATTCTAGCAGCCACAGGGCCCATGGGCCGGAGTCTTCGAGATATGAATCTCATGACTCGAGTCGTCATCGAAGCCGACCCATTCCTCGTGGATCCCAAGATAATCCCCACGGTGTGGAAAGGTCTACAGGACCCCATCAAGAGACGACTCAAGGTCGGTATCATGGAGAATGATGGCTTCATCGAACCTCAACCCCCAGTCAAGCGAGCGCTTGCCTGGGCGCGAAAGCTTCTCTCGGATCCTAAGAATAGCGAAATCATCGAGGTGAAGGATTTCCAGCAATACAAGGCGGAAGACGCGTTCCGAAAGGTTTCCCGAATGTTTATTCCCGACGGCGGAGCAGGGATCATCGAGGCCATCGAATCCAGCGGCGAGCCCGTCCTACCACTGACTCGGGCACTGATTCCGGACAACGCCAAGATGAGCAACGCAGTCGAGGTCTCCGACATGCGCTTCGAGCGAGACACCTTCCGCACGGAATATGTCGCGGCTTGGAACGCTCAGGACGTCGACGTCGTGATCGGACCATGTTACGTCGGGCCTGCTCCCGCTCACGACACAGCGCGCTATTGGACATATACTTCGTTCTGGAACTTCGTGGACCATCCTGGTCTTGTTTTCCCAACCCCTATCAAGGCTGAATTGGGCGAGAAGTATGCCGAGGACTACAAGCCGCTGTCGGAAGAATGCAAACAGGTCAAAGAGCTCTGGGATGGTGGGGATTTCGAAGGCGCGCCAGTTAATCTTCAGATCAACGCGCGAAAATACCATGATAATCAGCTATTTGGTGCGTTGGCGGTGCTGAAAGATGTATTGAGTCTGGCATGATAATTAGCACCATATAGTATAACGTTGAAGCGTGCCCTGCAAACCATGACGAACACCTGTTTTGCTTTTGCAACCAATTGTCGAATATGCCAAAAAGAAAAAAGAAAAAGAATACCTAATTCACTCCCCAGTTCCGCCCTCACTGAGCCCTAACTGACTCCATCAGCGACAGCACCAACATCAGCCTCTACCCTCCTCGCATCCCAGAACCCCTTCCCATAACTAACCACAATCTCCTCTCCCTTCTTGATCCCCAGTGCTCTCCCGCCCTTTCCCCTCCCTCTACTCAAGACGAAAACGCCAATACGCCTCTCCCACCGACCCGTCGCAACTTGCACGACACAGTCGCGGAACTCGGCATTCGGTCCCTCGGCCCTGACGCCGCGGTAGTCGTTGATGAAGCGCGCTTCGTTGCCGTACCGCGTCGCGTCGACGGACAGGTCCAGCTCGCGGTCGAGGCTGAGGTCGTAGTCCGATGTCGGATCTGTCGTGCTGCTGTCGTGCACGGCGCCCAGGTAGAACAGGATGAATGAGTCGGGGCCCAGCGCGGTCGATGCGAACAGCCCGGCTTGGCCGTGCGCCGGGTGGCACGGTGTGGTTATGGGAGTGATGCGGACCAGTGTGCTGGGTGTTTTTGGGAGTGGTGTGATGGTGACGTATGGCCCTGGTGTGGAGATTTGGATTGCAGAGGCCGCCAGATGTGGTGGGATGTGAGGTTTTGTGAGATATGTCACGGAGCTGGGCCAGTTCTTGGGCGGTGCTGCCGTCGAGGATGGCGCCGACATTGTTGGGAACCGAGTCATGGGGCTTTCAGCCTCCAATTATTTATAAGCTCGAGATTGTTAGGTACTTTAGGTACTGGGGACTCTGCTGGACAGAGGAATGGCCAGTTGGTCGTTGGTCTACATTCACCCTCTGCGCCCTGGAATCCATGACACCCGGATGCGCCCTTTCCTTTGAGATTTTTAGTACATTTCGAGCGCTCAAGCATGCTCAAGTTATATTGTGAGATCAACTCGGGTACGGGTTCCCGTCGGGCTGGTGAGAACTGAGGGTTTCTCACTGTAGCCTTGTTACTGAAACTCGAAAATTGTCGAAGAATGGATGCACGTTAATATCAAAATATATTCGGGGCTTGGCACTCTTTACCAAGTTGTCCTCGATCTAGTCTTACTCCAATCAACATGCCTTGTCTAACGGGCTTCGCACCTCATGAAATAAAGTGGCTTACGAGATCGTTGGCTGTGAATTCGAAGGAGTGAACAAAACGAAAATTGACGAATGGGTATTATATTGTAAGACAAGTGGCAGAAACAGCCCCGATGAAGGAGACCAACTACATGGAATGATGGCATTTCTTTCAAAAACACATCGCTTGCTTCGCTCTTTCGTAATGGTATAGTTACATTCTATCCGTGATCAGATCCTGTCTGTGTTGTGTCCTTCATAATCAAATTGTTTTTGTTATCCAGTGGCGGTGATGTCGTGGGCATCCCCTCTGGATTTGCTGGGACCATGTGTTGCAACAACTGTCTTAGTGGCCCTTGTGGCTGTAAGCCTGCTTAGTGAGTGACTGGAACACTGGTCAAGCCTCGTACTGGACAGCCATGCCAATGTGCGGGCCTGGGGAGTCTCACAGTGGCGCACTGAGGTATCACATATCAAACTCGTGAAAGGGGCCTCTCCCGCATCAGTAGGGACCGCTATTCCGACATCCGCAAGTCTCCAACACGTTAATCGAGTATTGGCCACACCTGATCAACCTCTTTGCGTGGATGAGCGTGACTTTCTGATGGTTTAACTCTTCAACTGGAGCCACTTCTTGGTATTTCGTCAAGAGTCTTGTGGCCCTGATAGAGAAGTAGGACTCTAGCCTTCGAAGGTTGCATCTCAGCATGGCGGACCTTTATAGCCAACTTCAGCCATAGTCGCGAATTGCTCCTTAAAGGAATACCTACCCCTGGCTACAGTGAAGTAGCAGAGCGTCATTGATTCTGATTGAGATCCATCAAGTGTTCACCTCAACCATCGCAACAGGGCTGACATGAGCAATCTGCGATCCACAGGTTTGGCGATATAGTCATTCATCCCTTCAGCCAAGTAGGCTTCTTCGTCACCTTTCAAAGCATTCGCGGTCATGGCGATGATGGGTATGGACGAGCCCGTGGCTCTGATCTGTCTGGTAGCAGTAACACCGTCCATGACGGGCATGCTGATATCCATGAGAATCAAGCTATAGGCCAGAGGCTTTTGCTTGACGAGTCTCAATCCATCCGCACCATCACACGCAACATCGACCTTTTCGAAGCCAAATCCTCGCAATAAGCGCACCATGATTGTTTGGTTGATGGCGTTGTCTTCCACGAGAAGTAGGTGCTTGTGAGGTGCCAATTCTTTGATGTCCAGGTCGGCGGTGGACACAGCCAATGGTGCTGGGGTAGTAATCTCCATTTTTCCAATTGAGACGGTAAAGTAAAAGTTGCTGCCCTGTGATTCTTCATTTTTGGTGTAGCCAACCGTACCGCCCATTAATTCTGCCAAGCTCTTGCATATCGAGAGCCCAAGCCCGGTGCCTTTGTACCGCTTGGTGGAAAAATTGTCAAGCTGAGTGAAAGGGATGAATAGGAAGTTCTCAGACTCAGCTGGAACACCAATGCCGGTATCTATGACTTCTGTTCTCACAGTGTATGATCTCTCATCCTCGTGAGTCAAGCGGATCTTGATCCGAATGCAACCCGTCTCAGTGAACTTGACGGCATTCGAGACGAGATTTTGTAAGATTTGACGGTAACGCAAAGGATCACCCTGAGCAAATCTGGGTAGATTGGGATCCAATTCAATCTCAAATTGTGGACCAGTTTCAGGCCCGAATTTGTAACACCGGCGGACAGAAGCAACAACTTGGGGGATGTTGATCACCTCTTTGGTGGTGACAGTGAATGAGCCAGAGGTGAGCTTGGAGTAGTCCAGAATGTCGTTGATCACCTGCAGTAAGATGGCACCAGATTCATCGATGATATCAGCAAGCTCCTTTTGTTCTTGGGACAGGCCCGTATCGATCAAGAGAGACAAGGCCGAGAGCATTCCGTGCATGGGGGTCCTGATCTCGTGGCTCATGTTGGCCAGGAAATCGGATTTCAACTTGGAGGCTTCTTCATATGCCTCGATGAGGCGAGCCTCGCCAGCTTTCCTCTCGGTGAGATCTCGAGTGACTTTGCTGAAGCCCTTCAGCACCCCATCGTGATAGACCGGGGCGATGATGACATTGGCCCAAAAGCGAGTGCCATCTTTTCTGAAGCGCCAGCCTTCATCCTCGACCTTGCCCTCGCGCAGAGCCACTTCAAGTTCCCTTTCAGGCTTTCTTGATTTTCTGTCTTCATCCCCGTAAAATATTGAAAAGTGTTGGCCCAGGACATCTTCCTGGGAGTATTGCTTCAGAAGGGTAGCGCCGGTATTCCACGTTGATATGCAACCGGTGGGGTCGAGCATGAATATGGCATAGTCGCGAAGAGTACTGACCAATACACGATAGGTTTCGGCAGCGTCCAGCTTCGCCTTGTGTCTGAGGGCTTGCTCAACCTCTGCTGTAGCATCTTGACCCTCGATAAGGAGATAAAGTAGTTCGTCTTCTTCATAGATAGGAACGGCTCGGAGGCGCCAATGGCCAGGGAGGACACTGCCGAGTATGGGGTCGGTCTTTTGCTCGATGCGGGTTGAAATGGCGTCTTCGACAAGCTGCTTGACTATGAGGTAGTTTGTGGAGTCTAGAATTTCGACAATGACATCGAAGAAGTTCTTGCCATGGACGAGGTCGAGATCGGTTTGGAAAAGGTCCGAGTAAGACTTGGAGACTGTACAGAAACAAAGATGCTGGTCGAGCACGGCGGTGGGCGTTGGGGTCAGAGCGAAGATACGTTCCATGCCGGTCCGCTTTCGACCGTGGCTATTGGATGATGGGCTGGGAGGTGGGCTCAGGTGGTCGGTTGGTGGGGGACGTCTCACCAAGGCTGAGGAGGAGAAGAAAGGCGAACGAGAAGATGGTTCCTTTGCGCCTTCCGGCCTTTCTACTGCTGGACGCTTCAGCGACTTCATATTGCGATGTGCTATCGATAGATCATCTTGGGGTAGTGGGAAAGAGAGAGGATGGCGGGCCCCAGAGGGAGAGAGGGTTGGAGGGTAGAGGATGAGCAGGGTTGCAGGATGAAGCGACAGAAGAGGAGGAGAGTGTGTACAGAGTACGATCAAGGACGAAACGAGTAGCAGACGTTGAAAGATGAGGCAGGCAGGGAGGTGGTTGCCCGATAGAAGCACCGTGCCAATGTAAAACCGCGCAGGACGATATCCATGCTGTGACGGATATTGATTCTCACTCTTACCTTTTAGTTCAATCTGGAATCTGGAATCTGGAAAGATGGACCTGGTGCCGCGGTGCAGGGTTTGAGGACGGGCGGATGTGCTCCGAAGCGGGAGCATCAGAGGTGAGCGATTGGTGGCAGACTCGTCTAGCTGCCGCAGGAGAGGCGGGCGAGGTGGATATGCATGATTTTCGGGGGGTTGCTTAACGGACAGTCTGGGACTCTGGGCTGAGTTCTGCTTGGACTTTGATGACTTGGGCCTGGGACGTAAGCTGAGAAAGAGGAAAAGAGGTGCCCGTGTTTTGGTGTTTGACATTTTGGCTTTGGGGAGGTGGGGGGGTTGAGATTTGCAGCAGTGGAGCCCGAGGGCACCTAAAGAGCCCCCCCGAAATGGCCTAGGCTTGGAGTCCAGGGCGGGAGCAAGAGCAACTCTATTTGCACCCATGTCGAGGCGAGCATGCGGGTAGCATAGCGTCCTCCTTAGTAGGCGGGATCTGATCTGATCACTGATGCACTGATGATCTGGCTTACCGAACCGTGATGGATAAGAATCTGTGATGATTGGTTACGTGGGAGTTTGCAGGCCACTCACTCGTAGATCAGAAGAGCCAGTCATTGGATTCAACCACCGTGACCATGACCATGAACTTCCAACTTCCAACACGTCTGGACACAAGGTTGAGAGGTGGAGTAAGAATGTATCCGTAACGAGGAGGCGAGTCTCTGGACCGCCTGAAACTCATTGGGACCGCCGATTTCCGCTAGGCTGCTTCCTCCCCTGCAGCGATAATGAATAATGCATTACGCCCCTGCTAAAGTATGACCAAGGGGGCGCCACTCCTCGGGGCGATTGGGTTGCTCAAATGCTGTCCGAGACGTGTCGAGCATTCCACCAGTCCTGTCAGGGCGCCTCGGGCCTTGACCCAGAGGTTCCGGGCGTCTTTAAGAAGCCCCATCGCCCCCCTCGCCCTGCCCTCCGCGCCTATATGAATTGGGGAGAGCACCTCGTAATGGAAAGAGATATAGATGCATCGACATCTCTATGTGCCAGAAACACAGACTCTCCCATTTACTGTTCATGTAGTGACATATCGAGGCGAGGCATGGCTCCCACATAAGTGTCAGGGTTGAACGGGCGTTGGCTCTGGGGCAGCCCCCCCGCCTCATATCCCGGTAAGACGATTGCAGGTTTTCTTGCAGTGATTGCTAAAGCCACATGCATGACCTTGCAGACAAGGCTTGATTTCCGAGCAGAAGAACAACAAGGTGCTGATTCAACGTTGCACCAACACACCATATTCAGAGCTGGCTTTTAATACATCATATTTCTGTGACAGGACCTTGTCGGACTCTGGACCATGATGCATGACTTTTGACTGGACCTAGAGTCACCCCGAGAGAGTTTCATGCCGTTGATACTTGTAGAGGGGGTCTTCTCTATCGTCGGCTAAATTTGCAAAAGCCACTCTGGTTGAATTCAGTCAATCCCATCTACTCTCTTAGTCTGCAACAATTCGGACCGTCCAGTGGAATAATACACAGACCGTTAGATGTCGAGCTGGCATTGAGTATCCGTGAATATGAACAAACCCTTTCACCCTCATAATCTAGTCGGGTCCTGGCCCAAACAAAGTCGTGCATCTTGGCGAATTTTACAGGCTAGCCAGGGTGTCTGGACATATTCCGAGGCCCCGATTTGAATCCCACTCTACTAGCAGTACGGATACGTGTGTTTCAAGGGTCTACTCGTACAATGCTCTGTTTTGACGGTGACCTCACTACCAATCTTTGCCTCCAGTGCCATCTTGAGAATCAAACCATGTACTGACTTCTGGATCTGATATAATCATCTGTGAGGTCGCACCCTCTCCAAGGTAAGCATTCACAATGTTCCACAACGTGTTTGATCAGCGGCTTCAAAGGCCAACGTCCCCAAAGATCCATCCCTCATGTACCACAGCCGTACCACAGCCCTACCAGACGGTCGCTTGACAGGACTTGATGCACAGACTTTTGAGACATGATAAATTGCAGATGCAGGTAGGAAGTGTTGAAAACCACACTGTTTGTGCGTCTCCGAGTTGAATTCCTGCATCAAGATTGTGCAAGACTAGACAAAATGCAGCCTCAAAACTACATGCCTGCCAATGTATCCCGTGTCCATCTCCAAATCCATCTCCCTGGTCTCATGCTCTTGTCAACTTGACGGGCGAGGAATGCCGACCTTCTTTATATGCATTCGTTAAAAAACGACGCTGTTTTACCACACCACAAACGCCTGTCGTAACGGCGGCCGTTCCATGTATCCTGCTGCCTTTTGTGGGCGAGTCCTGGCTCGCCGTGTGCGCAAAATGTGTAACGTGTCCCATTCCAGTCCATTGCTACCAACCCGTTTCCGCTTCGTTCTCCCGATTGGGGACTGTACATTGACCATCAACAGATGGTCGGTGACTCGCTCCTTCACTCCTAGTTCATAATCTTAATGGTTCAGGCAAATCACCCGCAGTGCCTCGTCCTCTTTCCTCTTCACAGGCTCAGTCGATCCAAACTTCGCACCCTCCGCCCGGCTCCACTCGTCACCAGTCCGAGTTTGTAGAATGTTTCCTCGCCGGCTCCGTTTCGGCCTCCAATATACCATTTCTCCGCTCCCAGCGCATCGATGAAGCCACCCGACGAGTTGGAGCTATCGCTCCCTCGCCGCTGACGTCCTCGTGACGGCCCAGGCGGTGACATCGACAGGCTTGCATTGGCATGTGATGAATGAGAGGGTGATTGAGGATGAGCATGTGAAAGGGGTCCAGTAGGTGACGTTGTTCCTGGCGATCTTGATAGAGGGGTTGCATATCGATGCGAGTTGGGATTGGTGGAGAACGGTAATGGTGCTGTGGTAGTTGGCGGCTTTGATTGTGACGAAGGTTGAGATGAGTTGGGTAGACTGTCATGCGCCTTGGTGGTGATGGTTCTAGGGAGGCTTGAGGTCGCTGTCGCTGTTGTAGTCGAGACATGAGCCGCGGCCACCAGAGAGGCTGGTGAAATCACCGCATCGTAGGAGGATGTGGATTTGACTGGAAAGGTCGGACTGGTGCGTGCCCGAAAGACGGAGAAGAAGTTGGCAAGAAAGGGTCGATTGGTCGGCATGACTGGCCTCCTGAGGATGGAATTGTTCCAACGTTGTCTGTGCTGGTAGAAGTCGAAATAGGACCCCGAGGTGTTCCACCTCTTGACACTCGACGAAGTGCCGGTGGGCTTATGAGTTCGCCTCTGCTCGTGAGTCAAATAGAATGTCAGGTTGCCCGAGGAGTGTGAGATGATGGTCAATAGATCAACACGTGGTTGTGCCGGCCTGCACTCAATGAGAAGCCTGAGCAGTTAGATGGTCGACTTTGAGGCACAGGTGAACGTCACAGTGCGGATGAGATAGGATGTCAATTGGGAAATGATGATTCGCCCGGAAGTGATGGATGGATGTAGCAATAGTTTATCGGGAGGTAGAAATGATGTTGAGTCTGGTCGTTATTCATCGGTGACTGGATGGAGAGCGAGATGATGGGTAGGAGTAGGAGTCATGTCATGGCCGTTATACAAAGGTAGTATTATTGATTGCAGCACATGGTCATCAACGACTGCGGCAGTGAGGCAAATAATGGAAGAAACCGGGCGTTTCGAAGCGAGGGGACGTGATGCTCCGACTTGAACCCCAGGGGCCTGAGGACCTACGAGTAGGAGTCTCTATCCGTAGCCTGTGGGGAGACCCTCGGGACACCTTGGGCACCCCAGACGAGAGCCCCAGGCGCGCGCCCAAGCACTCGGTGGGTGTCTGGGCTGACGAAATTGGAGCCCTTGGGGCTCCTCGCTTATCATCAGCAGCATGAGTATTCGCTGGCTCCTCCTCCACCAAGCTGGATGTTGAAGCCGACCCGTCTTGTCGTCCGCTCCTCCTCTCCTCTTCCTCGTGTCCTCGGCTTTCTTTCACGAGTTCATTTTCAAGGACAAATGGATTGCAAGTTCAAGTGTTACGGGGTACCTAAACTAGAACTGTTCGTTCCCCGCAGATTCATGCCAGTGCAATGACGAGTAGGCCTTTTCTTGAATCCCGGGGGATTCTCGAGCCGTCCTTTCCTCTTCAACATTTACCCCGCTTGGCAGGAATGGTTGTTAGGCTCCCGCCAGTTCCAGTTCCAGCTCCAGTTCCAGCGCCAGTTCCTCACATTATAGATGCCTCCTGGAAAGCTTCACAATTGATCTGAACTCGTAGTCTGACCACAGCCGGTCTTGTAACCGTGGAGTTTGACCGTCACTGCTCGTCCGCCTAAGCTTTGTCACTTGAACCGCCTGGACCATCACAATCACCGACATCATAACAAGCATCACCATCATCTACTCTTCATCATCATACGTAAACTCGAGAATCTACTCATCTCATTAGTCTCATGTGAACCGTAATTCAGTTCCGAATCAAACGTACCATGTTATTCCAATTGCCACCGTGGCTCGTAACTGCACTTGGTCCCAGGTTTTCGAAGCCGAGTCCCTTGTAGAATGGAACCAGATGGTCGTGGGCCAGCAAAGCCAACTGCTTGGCCGATTTCGAGTCTTTGATTCGAGCAATGTAAGATTTCATCAGAATCGAACCAAGGCCCATCTTCTGAAACTCTGGTGCGACGGCCACTGAATGGATGCAGATGGTTCCGCCTTGATCTTGGTGACCCAGAGGTTCTTCGTCATCATCGTTGCTGGGAAGCGACGAGCGTCGTGTCTTCCAGTTGGAAGGGATCCCCATGGATGCTTCAGTCACACTCGGGGCCGGAGTTCGAGTTGAAACCACGTGCGCCATGAGTCGACGCTGTGGAGGCGTATTTGAATCTTCGGCCTCGGCCTTGGTGGGTTGCGTGAAAAGTCCCAAGCTGAGCTCGGGACATCTGGTCAAGCGATACAGAAACTAAATCATCCACATCTCGTCAGCATATGAGCCAGAACTTCCAATAGAGTTGGTGGCATGTCGTCGAAGACCCCCAAGGACTCACCTTTTCTCGACTAGCCCGTTCCTCGGGGGGGAACGCCTCCTCCTCGAGTTTTGTACACTGATCAACATCAAAAACAGACAATGCCTGATTTTCGGGATGCAGGCGATCCCATTTGTGAGTTGAGCCGCGGCGGCGACCGCCCAATCTTCCAGTTAGCATGTTCAACAATGAGTGATTTGCCATAGGGTCGTGGTCATCATCATCCGAGTCGTCTTCACCGTCGCCAATCTCGTCGACGTCGCGGATGTTGTTGCCGTAACGATGAAGATCTAGTGGAGAAGAATGGACCTTTTCGTCATCCTTCTCATGATCGGGCATGTCGATATCGGTGTGGTTGATGTCGATAAAACCGTCCTCGGCAGACGAAAATGACAGAGCGCCTTGTGAATCGGCCGCCTTGGCACTTCCGGCATTCGTTGATTGGTCGCTTTCCTGCAGATTTTGTGCCATGATAACTGAACGAAACGATAATGGGCACACGACCACCTGCAGATGATTGTGGTTGGAGCCTTTGGATGAAGTCGACGATGATACAAGGCAGGCGAGTGGCGATCTTATGTGAGGACTTGGACAAGAATAGAGTCTGGAAATCAGGTCTCGTCTTCAGTTTGTTTTGTGGTGGTGCTTCGGCCACGGAAAAACTATTTACACTCGAGTCGAATGTGCGCCTTCCCGGTGAGAGTGTCTAGGAAGGTGTGAGGCAAGGTGTTGTACTTAAATCTCAGCTGGAGAAAGACCGAACTTGAAAATGATCGTTGATTGTTGGTTGTTTTGCATTGGATTCTACTCGTTCAATTTGAGAAGAAGAGATGATCAAATTTGAAAGCTAAGGCTTCTACAATCATCACCACTAAACAGAGTCCAGCTACTAGTTGCGGGTACCTATAATGGAGATGTGCACGGTTGCCACCAAAAAGTCAGAGTCTTCGTTCATTGACCTGGCCTGTCAACTTGAAGCAGCTTACGAACGAGGCAGGCTGCATGTGGATGTAGTAGTAGTCCATGGAACGAGGAGGAGGTTCAATCGCGCTCTCAAGCTTCCCTGCTTCGAGTTTAGCAGTTTGGTTGGAGGCTTCGCTGCCCAGGGGTTCTCGGGTGGTTCCCTCCTTCGGTAGAGATAAGCGTCCCTGTACCGTTAACGCCGCTGCATCTACCGAAATATGATCAACAGGCACCATTGCTTCGGTAACATATGGCACTCCTCTGGGTTCTGTATGATGGGTCTCTGAAGATTGAAGAATTGGCTGCGCGACAACATTTCACTCATCCAAGGAGATCAAGCATAACACATACCATGAGTACTCTGTAGTCCTCATTGATAATCTCAATGAAAACTGCATCGCCCGGGCACAGTTCCTCCGGGCGACATGTCGGGGAGATACCTACCTAGGTACCTAGTAACCAAGGGCTTGCCCCGCCTAAAGGCAGCTAGGTATTAAGCTTAAATAAAGGCGGTGGATAACGGCCATAAGTGGGTGGACACGACCTGGGGGCGTTGGCCCCGGTCAACTTGGACCTGGACCCTACGCTGAGGCCTGCCCGTGCAGTGCGTGAGGCAACTGCGGGCACGTCATTCATTTATTTGCCCTTCACATCCGACACGCCAATTTGAACAATCAACACTTTGTCATCCAACATCTTGAACAAGGCTACTTGGTCCTTCTCGATGCTTCCCTTCTGACACGAAGGCTTTGGGTAATCAGATTTCTCTTTGCGATCAATTCTAGCCATCTTCTTCCTTTTGCAGTCATCTGCATTCTCACCTCCCGGTGCGCTACTTCCCTACAACAAACAACCTCCCGACAAGATGTGAGTTACTTCAACATTGCTTCTTGTCTCTCCGTGATACTGACATGCTCAAAGGCGCATCTCCATATCCATCGTTGCCTCCGATGTCAACATCGAATCGGACTTCCTCCCTTTAGACGTCTCTCCAGATATGACACTGAATGACATCAAAGCCATCGTCGAAGCCGAGATCAATGCCCCTCCCGAGGCACAGCATTTCCTAAAAGATGGCACCCCTGTCAATGACACAACCCAGAGTCTTACAGACCTGAACATACAGGAAGGGGACGTGGTGGCTATGGCAATACAAACCTCCAGATCGAGGAGACGGCCAGCCCAAGATTCAACAGGTGCACAGCCTGCACAACGAACACGAACTGGCAATGACACGGAACAACTGAGATTAAGGCTTCTAGGAGACCCGGCTCTCATGGCTGAATGCCGCCGTCAGGATGCCGAATTGGCCAACGCAGCCTCCGATCGAGAGGCCTTTCATAATGCATGGAATACGCGACAACGGCAACATGAGCAATCCCAGAGAGAAAAACAAGAGCAAATTGCACTTCTGGAAGCCGATCCCTTCAACGTCGAGGCCCAGCAAAAGATTGAGGAGATGATCCGCCAGGAGCGAGTTTCTGAAAACATTCAAAAGGCTATGGAGGAGAATCCCGAGTGTAAGCCGCACTCCCTGAATTTCTGTCGAGCAAGCTACTGACTTGAGCATCTAGCGTTCGGTCGAGTGACCATGCTATACATCGACGTCACAGTGAACAATGTTCCGATTAAAGCGTTTGTGGATTCCGGTGCGCAGACTACCATCATGTCCCCAGACGCGGCAGAGCGCTGCGGCATCCTTCGATTGATAGACAAACGTTATGGGGGCATCGCAAGAGGAGTCGGAACTGCTACAATTCTGGGACGGGTCCACTCGGCAGACATACAGATCGGACAATACAACTTGGCAAGCAGCTTTACGGTGATGGAGGGCAAGGACGTGGATCTTCTGTTGGGGCTGGATATGCTGAAGCGCCATCAGATGTGCATTGACCTGCAAAAGAATGTACTCCGGGTCCAGACCGACGAGATTCGATTTCTGCCAGAGAACGAGATCCCCAAAATGATGGAGGAAATCTTGGAGAGTGAGCCCAAGGTGGCAGGACCTGGGGGCAGCACGATCGGTGCCACCACTGGCACACTTGAACCGCCTGCTGAAGCATCATCGAAAACTGGTGCAACCGAGCCCGGCAGGTCGCAGGCCAGCAGCAGTCAAGCCACTGCACCCCAGGCAGATTCCAGTACCAGCAATTTCGGCCAGTCTCAACCCATTACTGCCAGTTCAGTGGCCAAGATCACGGAGCTCGGTTTTACGCGTGAAGAAGCGATTGCAGCACTCCGACAGGTCGATGGGAATGTGGAGTTGGCAATTGGACTTCTCTTGTGACAGTGGGATGCAAATGGCCATGGTATGACGTGAAGTTCAGAAGACATCATCTCAGCTAGAGTCATAGAGGTCAAATTCCACCAGCCATTTCAATCAAATGCCATCAAGCGGAGAAACCGATCAACTCTCTTAGTTTCTAGTAACCATGCAGCGTACTTTTGACCAGCAAACTTCACCAGGCATTAGTGTTGATCTAAAATAGTGAATTTTCTTTAGTTCGTGATTGACGCCAATCGCGACAGCATGAGTGCCCACTAGCCCATCGCCAAGGCTCGCTTTGCCTGCCAATTGCAACTGCAGCTGGGAGACGCTCCGGCTTCCATTTCCACCTGCGACAACTTGAAGGACAAACCCATCGGACGACAGAAACCGCAACTCACTCTTGCTGATTACCACTTGCTCCATCACCTCTCGCCTGTCCCCTGAACGTGCCAACCTGTGCAACGGTGCTTCCTGGACCGTCAGACAATGAATCGACCAGGTGGGTGTTCACTCTGTCCTCTCCATATCCATTTTCCGCTTCCTCCCCTCAAGGCTTGCAAATGCGATTCCCCAGACTGCATTGCATCTTCAAATTCCAGGTTCACACAAAGTGTACTTCTCGATATTGCTTGAGAAAAGCGTCATACCTAAAGGAGCCAGGTCCAAGCGAAGCCCTTCTTTACAGCGCCCTACAAATTCGGTTTGATCACGAGCCAACCGCACGATCTTAACCCTATGTCCTCCATCCCCACAGCGATCGCTGCGGCCCATTACCCTGACATGTTCTCGAACCCAGTGAGATTTAATGATTCAAGTTGGTCCGGAATTGTTTTGCATTGCGGGAATGAGGTCTGGGAAGTGAAAAGTCGCAGTGTACGATTTCATGGCGATCAATGGTGGAGAGATGCCAGCCTTCAACCGAAAACGACCGACCTCCCACTTTCATTCAATTGTCCACCCAGTGTCAGATAAACGTGGAGGGCATCAACTTGACGCTTGATTTTATCCTCACTCACCTAGGCATTTGGCTGATTTCATATTCTCTAGGACCAGGGCGCCCCGTCCAAGCTGTCAATAACCTCAATCACAATCAAAATCAAAATCGAGCCGTTAGCAACGGTAGAATGCTCGCCAACAAACCCAGCACATGGGCGCAAGCGGGACTCCCTCCAGTGACACCGTCGAGTCAGCCGAACCGCGAAGCCGTACCACCAGATAATTGGGCACAAGCCATGAACCCCAGAAGCAATGCGCCACTTGACCTTTCTGCCTCGTCGTACGTTATCTGTGGTTGTTGATGACCGTTGGTCGTTGGTCGAATACTGACATGTGGATCAGCTTTCCTAGTCTGAATAACAGTGGTCTCCAATCGCAGAGTCACAATATCTCATCAAGTGCATGGCAAACCGGTCCCCCGCAGGCCGAACAGAACCAGCGACAGCAAATCCCGTCTTCACGATCACACATCTCGTCTCGTTCCCAACAGCAGCAACAATCGAATAGTGTACGGGACGGGTTCTACCCCACAGACACGTATTCAAGAAATGCGCCGATGGAGTTTGGCACGGAGCCGCAATCTCAACAACTAAGGCGAGGTAGCCAAGTACCGAGCGGGCCACCAGGGCTGCCTCGACAACCAAACATGCAAGGAGACGTTTCTGGTGATCCTAGTAGGGTGACTTCTCCTTCAGGTCAGACACAGATATGTACGGACCTAATCTTCTCTGAGGCAAAGACGAGTGGGCTAATATAAGCTTGACAGCAAGGTCACCTGTTTCACAGAATCTGGCGGCAGCCATGGGGCACGATCGATTTCTTGGCCAAGAAGGCAGAACGCTACAGAAGGATTTTCCTGCGGATGCGGTATCCAGCTTTGAGACGGCGACACGAGGAGAGCAATCACTGGAGACGATTTTGGGAAGCATGACTGAACGGGAAAAGTTTGGCATGAAAGGCTATATGGCGGAGCAGGACAATGCCAGCCCAGCAGGACGAACGCTGATGCGAGGAGTAGACCTAGCAACGCTGGGGATCAACATGAATTCACTGGAACCACTGTTACCGATGTATCCCGGACCATGGGCAGAACCTGGAGCACAGGCACTGAGGCCGCTGGACACAGAATCGACCATCCCCGACTGTTATACGGTCAAGAAGATTGCGCCGCTGTCGAGTCGAATCAACGGGTTCATGGACGAGACATTGTTCTTCATCTTCTACACGATGCCTCGGGACTACACGCAAATGCTTGTGGCTCAAGAGTTGGTGGCTCGGAAATGGCGATATCACATGAGAGAGAAGCAATGGCTGACACGAGACGACGCATCACCAAGTCCGGTACTGTTGGATGACAAGGTGTCGGAACAAGGGTACTACATCTGGTGGGACACAAAGCTGTGGAAGAAGGTTCGACGGATATACACATTGAGGTATGAGGATCTGGAGGAGCAACCGAGTATGGGTAATAGAGCTATTCATCCCGGAGCGATTGCAGGTGGTGTGGAGCGAGGCATGGGAGGGGGCAACTTCAATGCTGTACCCAGTCTGGAGCGGATGGCTGCAACTGGAAGAGGGTTCTGAGAAGGCTACCTGGGTCGTGTTGCAACCTCGATGGACAACACGAGTTTGATTCGCAACGTTGACCTGAGGCCGAGGGGGCTTTCGAGCATACTTTGTAAGGAATGCCGACGGACTGCCAGTGTCAATGAGTCATACTGTTTGCACTGCTCCTACAGTGGCAATGTGCAACGAATCAAATCAATACTCGAGTTGGCTGATTGAATGAAGAACTTCCAAGGCTACAGTAGGGAGTAGTTACTAGTGAGTGGCCTTAGTAAAGAGCCCGAGTCATGACGGAGTAGTGAGGCTGCCCCTGCCTTATCGGCGTGGTCTACTCCTTCTAGCATCAGATATTTCTCTTTTCGGCTGGAAACCGAGAAAGTTGCTTCACCAGCAAACTAGTAAATGGAACTAAGGAAGGTGCGGATTCCACGGATCACGGGTCACGGATCACGACTACAGTGGTACTTTTACCTTACTGACAATTGATATCGTCAATCTCCCCACCATCAAGTCAAGTCAAACCTCAAGTCCTTTCATCATCGATTCCCTTTCTTTATCATTTATTTCTCCGAGTTATTGTATTCGGGGTCCTGCAACCCCTCAATTTCATATCACCATCACATCACTCCGCTCCCGACACTCGAGTCAGTTCTGTCCCGCCTTGCCAGTACAACGCCGCCATGGCCCTCGATATTGGGAGCTTCCCGATCAACAACGGTCAACAACGGTATGAAATGCAATCGTTGAACAAATAATCCACCTTCTGTAAATACCGGCTTGGGTCTCACGTCAACGTTAAACTCACCATTCTATTTTCACCCCGTTTCCCTTTCCCTATTGTAATCACTTGTCCCACTCATTATTCAACCTCTCATACCTTTCATTCGGGCTCACGCCCACAACCACAAAAATGGTGTCCCTTTTCCGAATTCCCTTTCTCTCCACCAAGTCCAATGTGTCAGAACCTCCTGCAGACATGGTACCGAAAGACTTGGACGTCTCAGTGGCCAATCCAGCAAATTTCGAGTCCATCGCCGACAAGGTCGAAACCTTGCAAGCCGAGCTAGCTTATGCCCATGACCTCTGTGAACAAGCTAACCTCCAGTTCGACATGTTCCGCACCGAGATCTACAACTTCAAGCAGCAAAATGCCCTTTTGATGCAACAACTCGCCGAACGTACCACCTTGGCCAACGCCCTTCAAGCTCAGGTGACTCAGCAACGCGCAGACCTGAGAAAGGAAAGAACTTTGAATATCCAAATGGCTGCGAGGCTAAGGACCGAGACAAACTCTCTGAAGGCAATGACAAACCAGGCTCAAACAGCCCAGCAGCATCTTGATGATGCCAAGTTCGATATTGAGTACCTCAAATGCACTACAACAATGGGCAACCCTTTACTTCCTCCCTTGACTCCTGATCATGAAACCCCGCTTCCACCACGGCCCTTTGTCGTTGTTCTCGTCGATGGTGATGCTTACGCGGTACGTGGTCCCATCAAGCCGAATAACTTGATCCATCTCTCTGACTGTGTTTGACCAGTGGTCTTCGGATTTGTTCGTGAATGGCGGACACTCTGAAAAGACACCTGGTGGTATGGCTGCGATGCAGATTAAATTCGAAGTCACCAAATACATCCGAGATCAAAAAGGCACCATCCCCTATACCTCTGCCATTGTCACACGAGTATTCCAAAACTTCCAGACCATCTCCAGGACTGCTCAAGCACCCTCACGCCATGGAAATGGGCGGCGAGATTGGCACATATTCTCCATTCAGTTCACCGAAAAATTCCCTCTCTTTGATTTCTTCGATGCCGGCAGGGGAAAAGAAAGAGTCGACGACAAAATTCGAGGTACCTGTTTTTGAACCCATCCGGTCCACAAAGCCACGCTGACTTTGCCTGCAGAGCACTTCCATTTGTTCCTGTCCCACCCCAACTGCTATGCAATTTTCCTCGCCGCTTGTAAGGACAATGGGTTTGCTCGCATGCTCGAGCCATACGTAGACCATCCATCTATCCGTGAAAAGATCATCCTCGTCTCTCCCGGCTTTAAGGCTCCCGAGATTGCTGGACTTCCGTTCACCACGATCGTGTGGCCTAGCATATTCAAAACTGAGGTTGCACCGCGTGACATATCGATCAAAACGGCAAAACACGCACGAGAGAAACAGATTGCCCAGTGGCTGAGCAGACTGAGTCTGGACAAGGGTACGAGTGCAAAGACTCGAGCCATAAACTTTACACCAAAGCCTGCAGCCGTGCTCGATCTTCTGCAGCCATGGGATGTCCACTGCGCGTTGGCAAGGTATTTCGGTATGGGGACAACCAGGTTCAATGACTTTAAACGTGGGGAACACGCATGCAGCATCGAGCCTTGTGCAGATTCTTTGGAAACACGAGAAATCGAATGATTCGCGTGCGCACTTGATCCTGTGCCGTCAGGGTCAGTCTGTATAAAAGGCTGGATACAACGTGCAGCATTGGTTCGACCACAGTCTAATTGAGTCGAACATCGCACCACCTTTGCCAATCAGTCATGCAAGCCCGAAATAAGCGAGCGGCTCTTCATCTCACCAGATCTCACTGTGAGACAAACCAGACCAAAAAACTATTCAGCCATGAGTTATATCCTGTTGTACTGTGTGAGAGCCGTTGAGCTTCGGCAGATGTGATCGCATGATGATCATGTATTCGATGACGAGCTGGCACAGGTCCATCGGACATTTTGAGCACAGGTTTCAATGTCATGTGTACTCCGTCATTTCTAACCCTTTACTTTGTCGCTCACGTATATCGTTCTACTACAGAAGTTCTACGTCCACATGCCCCTTCAATCTTTCCTGATCCGGTATATGCCGCACAAACTTGCAAAGAACTATCATCAGGTCATCCATTTCAACATGCACTGCAATGAAGTGATGCGGCGCAGATCCATAATACACTGGCTCTAGGTATCTCGTCCTTTGGCGCCCTAATCGCAGCACTGGTCTTTCGTACGCTCACAACTGCATTAACGACTCAGATTCAATTTCTCGCCCGGTGTGCATACTAGGTAACAGCTGAGCCTTCTAAGGGCCATGAATTGGTCTGGCCGACTCGCTCTCACAGTAGGACGAAGCAGTCTATGTGGCTTGGGATGCTCGTGTCTGTCGTCCAACGTGCAGCTTGGCTCGACAAATAAGCATCACTGAGCATGCCAACTCTGAAAACTATCGTTCTACGGCACGTCAGCCTTAGCCTATAGCATCAGGCTGAGCTGAACATTTGACACATCGGATCTATCATTCAATGGCCGATAAGAATTTCCTTTTGGTCGGCTTACCTGGCTGTCGGTCGCAATTGTGGGAAGCTGTGAAATTCTTATTAACGGTTGGTACCTGGTGGACGAGACGTCTCTCTCAGACCCGTCGCTTTTCTCCGCTGTAACCAAACTCTGAATGACGATAAATCCTCCCACCATCACAAGAAATTGCCAGAGGCTAGGATACTCATTACTCGCAGCCCCACTAAGGGTAGATTGCGTCGCAGCAGTTGATGTTGCTTGTTGTAATTGGCGATGATGAGGTTTTATTGCATCCCTAAGCAATAGACAAGCTTCACTGCACGCAACATAGCATATCGAATCATCATACCACTGGATAAAATGTTGTGCCGTTGGCAGCAGTGATCAACACGCACTTGTAAGTGCATTGTGTGGCTAGAGGTGGGGGAAGATTGCCAGCAATAGGCCTATTTGATTCCAACAGGCGGACAATCGCCGAGGCTGTTAAGAGTTATATCTAACAAACTGCTAGACATTCTCTCGAGAAGCGTTTCACCTACTCGTCATTGCAGTTGTCGTAAGTGGCAGTTTCAGTGTCACTCGCAACGGAAGATGACGTTGTTTTTGGTCACAACTGGGGCTGGACTCTCCCAAAACGAGGTATTCGCCTGGATACAGTTGAACTGTGCAGTGACGTGAATTGCTAAGGCGAGCAGGCGGAAGGTCAACGCCCACATTGCTGAATTGGAAAGCCCGAGAGCGCCATAAGGTTGACATTCAGGCTCAATAAGCATTCACAGGCGGCCGTCTACGCTTTATCACAAATCTGGAGCAAAGAGTTGTACAAAAGGGTGTTGTACTGCCCAATTCCATTGAGAAAAATTGGTCCTTCGCTGACTATTGTGATTTTCGAGTAGGCAAATATCCGTGGTTTAACCGATCCGTGACGAACTTTTTTGGCCTAGAAATGGCGGTGAGCTTGTTCCTCCTCGTTCTCGATGAGTATCGCTCCTTGTTATTCCGTAGTTGTTGCATCGTAATCCTCGTCGTCAGTTCTCTATAGAAATCTAATAAAATGCCGTTAGGAGGGTCTTATTTGCGGTATACGGATGAGGTTAGAGATCTCATTCGCCTATAGCTCGAAGCTAGTATTTTTAGTAAAAGAATCGCGCAATTCAATAGGGTTTTCGCCTCCTTTGTTTTCTAGATGAATATACTACGTAAAACGCCTTAATTAATACTCGATTTAACGCGTAGGAGAAAGGGTTTGAGCCCTAAAATTTATGGAGAGGTAAGGGAGGCTTTGGTGGCATTGTTAGAGAAGGATAAGACCATTTTTTTAAGTGAAATCGCCAATTATTTGATAGAGCATTTTGCAATAAATATTAGTGTTACAATAGTAAGTAAAACTCTCAAGGAAATGGGCCTTACTCGTAAGAGATTAGGGCTCATCGTATATCGCGCCTAGAATAAGGAATTACGAGCTCACTTTCGTACTTACATAGCGCGCGATTATAGTGTAAATTAGCTTATAATAGTAAATGAATCGGCTATAAATAAGAGGACGAGTGAGAGGAAATACGGTTAGAGTCGTCGTGGCGTACCCTATCGAGCATCGAGAGTAGGGAGAAGGAGTGAGCGTTAGAGTGTTTTGCCAGCTCTTTATTATAACGATATTCTTTATTATAAGGTTTTCTACGGCTTATTCGATAGAGAGAGGTTTAAGGGGTTTATTAAGAAGCTCGTGAAGGAGATGAATCCTTTTCCTACGCTAAAATTAGTTATCCTACTCGATAATACGAGTATTTATTATTATGATAGGATTGAGAGGATCTATGAGAATATCGACGTTATTCTTAAGTATCTCCCTTCGTACTTACTAAATCTAAACTCTATTGAGCTATTATTTTATAAATTAAAGGATTAGTTATATCGCAATAGAGATCTAGCGAAGGACTTTAAGCATTGGTTTAAGGGGATTATTTATATAGTGATGAATTGTATCACTAGTGCGGCGACGATAAGAGGCTATTTTAAAAAATGCGATTACGATATAAGTAAGAATTATAAGTAAATAATGATTCAATAAAATAAGTGCTAAATGCGTACTAGTTAGGGTACAAGACTAGTAAGTATTTAGTCTCTTAATTTAGGGGGTATTTTAGTACTACGTATATAGTTTTATAAATAACGAAGCTCTCTAGTTACTCTTTAAATACATTTCTATATAGATCACCACTAGAAAAGATTATTTAATAAGTGGTTTAGCTTTATTCTAGCTCCTCGTTATATAAATAGCTAGTAAAGGCCTAAGAGTATCTATTCTTAAGATCCTTTAACGTTATATTTCTAATAGTTATATAATCTCGCTAAATCTTAGTATTAGTTATAAATTAGTAATATTAATTATAATATAGCAATTAGTACTAGCGTAGGCTATATTGTAAAGTTACGTATTTACTAGCGATATATCTCGTAATTTAAAAAATTAACCTCTATTCTAGCGACGGCGAGATTAGGAGCTTACTATACTACTACTACCACTCTCTACGACCTATACCTCTCTTACCCACTCCTTTAAATACTTTTTTATCTTGCGTACGAAACCTAGAGCGATTTTCATACTCTTAAACTAGAGATTAGTAATCTTACGAATAGCACTAAAACTCTATCCATCTCTCGCCAAAATGTCGCTAAACGATACGAATTTCTCGCGATTACATAAATATTTAACGCCTAATTAACTTAAATAAAGGATGAGATTATTATCATTATCTCCTACTCGAAATGGCGAACTCGATTAAGGCTCTTTTAGTAGTATAATCGTAGTATTAACTAATGCTATTAGCGAACTATTTTATAGTAGAAACTCTCCTAATATTCCACTCTCTCCACTACTACTAACTCCTCTAGCATAATAATACTAGTAGTATATCGGCGCCGATATTACTAGTAAAGGCATTACTCCTTTATCCTATAATTTATAGCGATCTCGTACTACTTTAGCGTCTCTAAGGACCTCTCCTAGGACCTTATCTATATTGGCTACGCCCTTCTTTATAAGGCTATTCCATTTCCTTATATTAGGTAAGAATAGGGCTAAATAGTTATAGAGATTCCCTATATAGAGAGATCCTTTATTAGAATAGCTAGCAATACGACAAACCTACTTTATAATAATTGCGATAAGTAAGTCTTCTAGGACCTTCTCTACAATAGCTTTATTAATATTACTAACGCGTTAACACTAACTAGTACTTATCCTAGTAGATCCTCCTTCTTCTAAACGACGCGTTAGCGCCTCTATAACCCTCTCTACTAGTATAAGTACTAGCGTAGGTGCCTTCCACTTAAAAACCGCCTTTCTAGAGACGTCTAAAAATCGAGAATCGAATAGCTTATTCTCGATAGTGCGCTCCCACTAGAACCTCTTAAAATTCTCATATTACTTATCGATGCTACAGTTAATCGTCTTAAGTACTTTATTCTTCCTCTTAACCGTTAATCGTACGCCAAAATGGTTAGGAATGAGCTTCTCATTATTACGAGAATATTTGTTAGCTATTTGCAGTCAAGTACTCGTTAAAAAGTTATCGATTTATTGTTAGGAACGGACCTATATAAATAGGCAGAGTACGACGATTAGGGTAGTTCAATGGGTTATAGATTGTTCCTTGACGTGTGTCTTAACTAAGACTCAAAGCATAGAGAGGAGGGAAGCTCCCCTCATGCGGTGAGCGTGCGGTAAGCCTTCTACTGAACTAGGTTCTCGGGTCTTGGCTTGTTTGTTTGGTTTGGGGGTTGTCTGAATCGACGTTCATGACAATTATCCCCTTCCCCCAGGCTTCTCGTCCTCGAGAAGCGTATCGCATGCGCGTCGCATGCCTCAAATCCTATGAGTTCCGGCCTTGTTGGGGAATCCCCACGTAAGGCTGTATCATCTTAGTTGCGCCAACCTCCTGCGGTACGCATGAGTTCCTAGCGAAGTGAATCTTGCAGTATTCACCTTATATGCCTTGGATTCCTTCACTGTTCCTATTCATCCTATTCATCCCATTTATTCATTCCTCGCACTGCGTTTCCTCCTGCGTAGCGCATGCGTTTTCTCGTATAGTGAATGTTCTTGCTATTGTTCTTGTGGCCTATTCA